TTAACGAGAAGACCTATAAATAAGCGTAAAATTATTATTTATTACGCGTCTACGCAAGAGGACATAAATATAAGTCGAATGTTAAAAGTGCTAATCGCTGTAAAATTAGTTGCAGCAGCAGTCTTTACTTTAATAATAAAACAAATGAACTCTTATATATCTGCAAACTACTACTATGCAAATATTTTATAATTTATTACTACTTCAAAAACCTATATTTTTATATTCTAAAATAAAGTCAAATCGCTTGTAATAAGAAAATACTTTTGATGTTAAGTTCGCCTATAGTTCCATAGATGGCGCTGCATGTCGGTTAAATCGCGGTATCGTTGTGTTTTTCCTACAGGGTAAAGAGTATTGGACATTTCTATTTCTTTAACTTTGCGCAGAGGCAATATCGTAACCAATGAGGTTTATCCGAGGTGCGATTATTGCTAGTTGAAAACTTTACCAATACCCCGCCGTGTGGACGTGAAATACCGTCCGCTATGGCAATTTTTTGAACGGCCGTTAAGGCCATATTAATCAACTAAGAATAACATTAAGTCAGTTATGAGTTAGCATAGGCGCAAACTATTATCTAGTTCTGGGCTCTGGCTTTTCGTTTAAGTTTCAGGTGTTGGCTGTTGCCACTTGCCATAATTTACAAGTTTTTTTCTAACAATTTTTATTATTTGATTTGTCTAGATTTTATTCCCGGTGATTATTTTTAATTTAGTATTATTTTAGTAAAATTTATTAAAATAAAACTAATAATTAGTACATGTTAACGATTCCTTAAATCTTCTGGTTGTCACATTAAAAATGAATTATCTTATACATGTATACCATTTTAGTTTTAAAGTCTCAAAATAATTTAAACTTTTTTTTCTTTGGTTACATCCTTTGATTTCAACATACGCTTCGTAAAGTATTTTGTCATAAACAAATAGCCGTGACAAAAAGGATTATGTGACGAAACAAGACCACGCGTCGATCCAGATTGAATAATGTCAAAAAGATTTGACATTTACACTCGGTGAAAGTAGGGGCTTATTGAGTGGAATCGATTGATCGACTTATAATCGTATTATCGAACTACGGGGGGTCCATAGTCTGTTTTTAATGTCCGAATTGTGCTCGCTTAATGAAATATATTAGATTTGTTATTATTTGTCAACTAAATTACGTACGTTTAAAAAGTTTTGTAATATATTTAATCAAGTTTTAAAGGTCACCGTATCTGGAAGTAGTATTATATCGTATAATCGTATTATATTTATATGAAGGCATAAGCGATCATATAAATATAATACGATTGCAAGTAGGACGTGGTTACACTGTATAAAATATATCGCTGGATATTCGGTTTTTCCATCAGCAGTAGTCTTGCGGCCTTACAACCTACATCTATAGAACTATTTAAAATGATTGACAGCTAACGTTTTAACCTGTATTGCGTTATAGATATCAATTAATACTAAACATTTAATTGTACTCGTTCATTAATGTATGCGGCGCTTTTATCGCATTAAAGTGAATGAGTGGTAAAACAAAAAAGTATGAGTATCCGTCAGACATCTCAACACTTAGAGGTTTGCGTATAGGGTGTCCATCATTTATGAAAATGGAGTAATTTTAGTCTTAAGCCGGAAATAGAATAAGTGCCAGCTCTAGTAAAATAATTTAACTCTCACAAAATCCAGTAGTGTTTACTTCAATATACTACTTACTACTACTACTTCGATGGTCAATCCTAAAATAAAAATAGCCTGTATACGAGTCTACATTGTAAGGATTACATTAAATTTATGTTATTATATTTAATATTAGTATACGACCTTCGCCAGAGTGAAGGAAATCAAATCCATTTGTCTCTCATCATCTACTATCTTCCAATCTTTCCTTGCTATATCTTTAATTTCATCTTCTCAGGTTTCTGGTGGGCTTCCTTCTTCCCATCTTAAGCATTACAGGACGAATATTTTGATGAAACATTAAAGTTTTGTAGCGTCAACTACGGTCTGCGCCTACAAATTACTGCGATGACATCATGCTCTGAAACGCGCTTACAGCCCAGCCGCTAAAGATATAATTTTTAGACTTTAGCCACTGGGGCCTTCGGGCCGGCCAGTCAGTGCTTAGATAGGTCAACTTGGTCATTGTGACGCCTCTCTTAGGCTTTATTTTTTTATGGCTGCACAGTGTAACTGGAAAGTTACAGGCTCCTGAAATAGATTTCTCACTATCTCAGGAGCCGGAGCTACATATTTGTTGTCTAGTGTAAGTTTATGGCAATAAATTATTATTATAATTTACTCCAGAAATTGCTCTAATACATTTTTTGAGACTTAAATACTCTATTTAGTTTGACTGAATTTATCCCAAATTATAATTCCATACCTAAGTATAGATGAAACATATGCAAGATAAGCAGCTAATACCATAGCATAGCTAAGCTAGGGTAACAGTTTCCTTTAGTCGTGTATATAAATGAAATATTTTACATAGTTTTTTATTGCCTGCTAATTTATAAATAACATTTATTATAGTATTGTTTGGTATTCCACGTTTAAATTCGAAAGCACTTAAGCACTTCTACTATTCTTTATAATACTACTGTGTATTTAAAGAGTTGTATATAATGTATGGAATTAAAAAAAATATGTATATGTAACAGGATATTGAAATATTATCCCTTGATTCAAAGAAGTTTATGACCCCTACCCGGTCGTGATTCATACGCTCTCCTTACTGACAGATGGCGACGTAATGGCGCGATTGATTTACGATACCGACAGTTTTAATAATTGCGTAATCGGTTAAGGCTCGCTTTTACGAGGATGCTCTAATATGCTAGGACTTTAAGGGTAAAAATTCAGATTCCAGACTTAGCGCTAATTATCCCGTATAAAAATCGTCTTAGATTTTGACCCTTAGAAGTTATTATTAATAAAAAAGAAATACAAATACAATTACTTTAATCAAAAATGGTTAAACCAACCATTTTTGATGTTTTAGCTCAGCTTTAATTTACTGTCACCATTTTCAGTGAACTCATTCTATCTTATAGTGACAGCTATATAAACTGAACAAAAAAAACAATTGAAAAAAATGTATTTGATAAAATCAAGTTATAAACACAAAGAAATATAGAACATAAACCCTGCGGATTTTTAAAAAAATATAACTGTCATATTCCGCTGTATCGAAGCGGAAATATATTCCCCGTAATTGTATTAACTGTACTTTGCAAGACATTTTGTTAATTAATTTAGTGATAAACATATGCTTTTCAGAAAAATGTAAACTAAATTGGTACATATTGTAGATCATATATAAATATTAAGCTTCATAGTACGATGTAGACTGATGATACTGTGTGAAAGAAGTCTTACTACGGCTTACATACAAGTTACAACGTGCCAAGTGATTCCTTTTTAAACTTAGACCTTTGTTTATAGCATGCAAGTGTATGACGTTTTTTACATGTTTTTCTTTTAAAAATGAGCTGATTTTAGCAGTGACGGTATTATTTTCAATTAAGTTCGAACTCATTCCACGCCGTTTTTCGCAACATATTAAAAAATAAAGCTCACAAGATTTATTACTCCTTATAACGCTTGTTTATTAACTTGATATTTAAACCGTTATTGAAGAAAATACGCTTTAAGTAACGTATGTGTGGCCCTAAATATGACCGTTATCAAAAACATGGGATTTGACCGCTACCGCTGCTTTTTACGATATCTTGAATGTTCGTTTATTTATTTCACATTTACGAGGGTGAACATCTAAATCCACTGGGCCATATTTATGAGACGTCAGTTGGGACGGGTTACAAGCACAGATAAAAACGGACATTTTGTCGCTTCGCGTTTGGCATTTGTATCATATATTGCAAGATTTTTTTATTTTAGAGTGTCTTACAAGTTACATTATATTTAATTTCTTTTTACAGTTATAAAGTCCAATTATTTAAACAGAAGACTTTCAAAGTTTTTAATCATTAAATCAATAGCCACAAAGTATACTTTAATTAATACAGCGAATAAATAAAATTAATACACTTTTAAACACGTGCCAATCATTTAGTGGAAATTATGATTTTAATAGTGTAATTAATAAATATCAAACGTATGTTGAAAATTTTAGTAAATTACCCTATTAGACCCCATTTCGGCACGGGCCAACGAGCAGTAATTATTTTAAGTGTCAATAAATAATAAAGATGGCCGCGCACTGCTGAGTGCTCGTCCATCTCTCTTATCTCAATTCTTAATGCGCCTCTTTGCTGGTCATTCTTTTTTTAAATTTCGTTTTCTTTTTTCCCATGTCATGTAGCGAAGAGGTTAAATTTTGTGTTGACAGCGTGAAGGTTTTATGTTTTAATCTGGAGTTTATGTTCGTTTCATCTGTGGGGTAGATAGATTAGTTGATGTCGTTTTTTTATCTTGTTGTAGCTATGATCAGATGCGCGTATAATAAGAATAATCATTTTAAATTGTTTAAGTGTTTTGTAAACGTTTCGCCGGGTTGCTTCAAATTATCCACGATTTAAGGTGCTTTATGAAGTCATAACAATAAATCAACTGTGCAACAACGATTTTGTTGCATTTCCGAAAGACGGACCATCTATCACGCGGCCGGCGCGTTCAGAGTTTGAATAAATTTATGTTACGTAATTGCGGTGTGCGTGCGCGCAAGATGCGCTAGGGATTATGTTGTTTTACCGGCAAACTTGACGTTGCCGTCATTATACTGCACTTACATACTTTGACCCCTTACCTCTATAATAATCAAAGAATCAAAGATAAATAATCTTTAGAAAACAAACTTAATCGGAAGAACTTCTAAGTTCTAACCAATATCATCTTAAAACTATCACAATTTTACATGAAAATTCATTATTATTAATTTTCTAACGGAACTATAATATAATGTATGAAGGTAATTTACGCTTAACCGCATACAGTTATAAAAAGGGTTAAGCGGTTTTAACGTGAAATAGATGAGAAAACATGGACGAGGTCAGGGCTATAAGTTGCGGTCGCAACTCAATTGGAGTAATCTTCTCCGACGAGGCATTACTTACGTCTACTTTACCTTCAAGTGGTCTAGGTATGTCCGTCTTTTTTAAGATAATACGAGTTGAAACGGAAATTATTTAAAATCTTCTTTATGTTCACCTAAGCTGGTCAGATTTTGCACATGTTCATGTTCCAAGTGACGTATGGAAAACAAAATAGCTTGTCGAGTCTTATGTCAAACTTTGTAGTAATATTTCATTTCCTATCAGCTTAAATAGGTTACAATTGTAATATATACTTAGAGAGGTGTAAAACTGTCACATCTCACGAAGTTGGTTTGAAATTGCACTCAACCAGCGTGGCGCCACCGTCTTAATGACAAGGCGCTTGTGTTCTGTCATTTCACGATAACCACCGCTGATGGCCTTTGTATTTACCGCTATGACATGAAGAATCTAATTAGAAGACAAACGCCGACGAATTCTTGACCTAAATAGTAAAGAGCGCCCAGCTTCGAATACCTAAGGATAAAACTATTGGATTAAGGTGCGTTTATTGATCTCCAACAGGAAGAATACTTCCATACTTTGCTTTTTTAAACCATATAAATAATATTCAAGCTTTTGATTTTTTAACTGTTTCGGGAATTAAATTGATTAATTCCCATGAAACGATATTTTGAGTTGAAATGCACAGATTAGACCACCTTAATAGTAAAGTGCCAATAAAGCAAAAGATGAGTGAAACAGCTGATGATGAAATGTGTTCAGTCAATTTCAATGAGGCACTTTTAGTTAAGTTTTTAAGCTTAATTCCTCTTTAATCTTATTAAATGGTGTTTACGGTGTCATGAAAATGGACATATTAGTGTTTTATTTAAAACCGTGTAGTAAGACTAATTTCAATAAGGGTACTGTGAGCTTAGATAACTAAACCTCTAAGCTACATTAATACGTAAGGGCCTTTAATTATTATTCGTATAAGGCGACTGAAATTTTAATTCTCTTGCACATTTATCTCTTAATGAACTTATTGAAAGTTGAAATTACCGAAGCTATTGGTGGTAGGTGGCACGTTGTTTATTATAAAATAATAACGGATAGTACGCTGAACAAGTTTATTGGAGGACGAGTATCTAATCCATGACATCGATAATAACTCCACGCGCCCTGACCCCCTTGGTAGTACAATCCTGCGCACAATGTTTCAAATTTGTGAGCTTCGTTCACGTCATGACATACGAAAATATATTTAATGATTCTGATGTAACTTTGTTTATCTATGACATCTCACCAATAGGTTTTTTTTAAATAGAAAAACACTCAAACAGTTAATTTACAATACACAAATAGCACGGAATGATTTATACTATCTCCTCTAACCAATATAACAAGATATAGATTGTTACTAAATATTTCACTGAAATGATATTCTATTGGACATTGAATTGTGATATGTCTATGGATTAAATTTTTAAATGCTTAAGAGTGCGCACGTATAAACAGAGAACGAATTTCAAAGTAACCTGAAAAATATATTATTTCGCCGAGAATCGGCCCCAAGACACTACGCCATCGCCAACACCCTCAAAGGCAGTAAATGTTCATATTTTGATGTTATTTTTTACGATATAGTTAATACATACATAAATTTTAGTTTCATTTTCCATTCACCTGTACAGTACAGTCGAGCACGTATTCACGAGGCAGGTGCATAATAGTAAACCTGCGTTGATGTTGATCTTACACATTTAGCGTGTCGATATCATCGTACACGCAACCCGGTCTTAATCGCTATGTAATTACAGCATTAGCGAGGCACTAATCTGAGGATTTACGCGGTTATCACAATAACACGCGCTAATCAATCGGTAAATATGTTAACGATCCATGGTTTTGATAAAGCTATCGATTTATCAGGAACATTGCAGTGCGATTTTATATACAATTTATTTTTAATACCTATAAGTTTTCGCAAATTTACAACTTCATTTCTTCCCAACATAACTTACGAAGATAGCTATAACAACATAGTATGTTGTGTATGTGTAGTTCTATATAACAGTATTAAACCCAATAAAAATAAAAAAAAATATGTTTATTATGGAACATAAGATACATGTATCACTTATTCCACGTCATTAAATTTGAATTTGTAGGCATCCCTACTCATCGCCAAAAGAAGACAGAGGGTGTAGGCCGAGAGAAAAAGCCGGGTGAAATGATAAGAATCATCTTCACAATGATAGGAAAATACTTGTAATAAAACGGCTATTATTATTATTAATAATTCAATGCCGCCTACGTCCCCTTGGGCACAGATTGCGTCCGTATCTTTAATCAATTCTATTTTTATTGCAAGTGGGTAATCAGCCCTCTATTCCTGACACATGTCGTTAAATTTGGGTTTAAGGCAAGGTTTTCTCAAGATGTTTGCCTTGATCGTAGGAGCAAATGTTAAAAAAAATTAGTGCGACACAGCTGTGATTTGAACGTACGTCCTCAGGATTAAGACGCTTTAGCCACTAAGCCAACACTGTTCTTTGTAACTACATAGTAGGTGTAATAAAAATGATATCAAATTATAATGATAAATTTATTGTTTTAAATTACGTAGTTAGGTTTAAGGGAGCGTCACGCAATTTTTTGGAGATTATTGATCGGGGACCCCCCATGTAACGCGCCGTAACGATTTTCTGTACCCAATAGTTTATTAATAAACTAAACTAAACAGTTTACTGTAAAGTACTGGAAAGTCGAAAATAATATTAACAATAACGCGTAATTAAATCGCCCCGCCCCGCATCGTAACGTATTACAAATAGAAAAAAAATTCGTTACGTAATACTTGAACGCTCCCTAACGTATATTTTGGGCTTTGTATATTAGGTAAATTATTTTTGTTATTCTCAGAGCTGTGACAACCCAGTAGAAGAGAAACCCTCAAGCGACAAAAGCTACGTGGTTGGAGCCTGGCCAGCGACCACGCCCGGGCACACAGGATACTTAACTGTTGCTACACTGCCTCCAGCGTTTCTTAGGCGTAAGTTATCAGGACTAGGAGGCTGGAAATAATACTCATGAAATTCTGAATAATTAAATAGTAGTTTAATTAAAGTTTGGAAAGAGATACGTCTTGCAGTTGAAAAGGCCTTGGCAAAAGCATAGTTGCATATTTTTATCAAAAGCTAACAGCTTTTATTGCTCATTATGAGTTAACGGTTATTTAAGCCATTTAGTATCACTTCTATTTAATGGTTTTATCTTTCAGGAAAGTTGCCAATCACTGAAGCTGAGAATGGGAAAGCTCTATCGACAGAGATTGAGATGAAGAGCGACTCTGACAGCGAAGAAGATAAGTTAGTTGTGGACGAAAGTGGATTATGATTAGTATTATCAATGAATAAATGCTAATAATTGTTATTTTCTTTTAATATATGAAATCTGTTTCGAAATATTTAAAAATATATAAGTTCAACACGAAAATGACATAACAGAAACCGACACAAAAAAGCTTAAAATTAGGTTTTCTTATCTAAATCAATAAAAACATACTGGCTAATTAAGGATACGTAAGAAAGCATGAGGTTTTATTATATTAGAAAAGGAATGCTATCATTGGGGGGGGGGGGGGGGGGGGGGGGGGGGGGGGGGGGGGGGGGGGGGGGAAAAAAAAAAAAAAAAAAAGGGGGGGGGGGGGGGGGGGGGGGGGGGGGGGGGGGGGGGGGGAAAAAGGGGGGGGGGGGGGGGGGGGGGGGGGGGGGGGGGAGAAAAAAAAAAAAAAAAAAAAAAAAAAAAAAAGAGGGGGGGGGGGGGGGGGGGGGGGGGGGGGGGGGGGGGGGAAAAAGGGGGGGGGAAAAGGGGGGGGGGGGGGGGGGGGGGGGGGGAAAAAAAAAAAAAAAAAAAAAAAAAAAAAAAAGAGGGGGGGGGGGGGGGGGGGGGGGGGGGGGGGGGGGGGGGGGGGGGGGGGGGAGGGGGGGGGGGGGGGGGGGGGGGGGGGGGGGGAAAAAAAAAAAAAAAAAAAAGGGGGAAAGAGGGGGGGGGGGGGGGGGGGGGGGGGGGGGGGGGGGGGGGGGGGGGGGGGGGGGGGGGGGGGGGGGGGGGGGGGGGGGGGGGGGGGGGGGGGGAAAAAAAAAAAAAAAGAAGAGAGGGGGGGGGGGGGGGGGGGGGGGGGGGGGGGGGGGGGGGGGGGGGGGGGGGGGGGGGGGGGGGGGGGGGGGGGGGGGGGGGGGGGGGAAAAAGGGAGGGGGGGGGAGGGGGGGGGGGGGGGGGGGGGGGGGGGGGGGGGGGGGGGGGGGGGGGGGGGGGGGGGGGGGGGGGGGGGGGGGGGGGGGGGGGGGGGGGGGGGGGGGGGAAAAAGGGGGGGGGGGGGGGGGGGGGGGGGGGGGGGGGGGGGGGGGGGGGGGGGGGGGGGGGGGGGGGGGGGGGGGGGGGGGGGGGGGGGGGGGGGGGGGGGGGGGGGGGGGGGGGGGGGGGGGGGGGGGGGGGGGGGGGGGGGGGGGGGGGGGGGGGGGGGGGGGGGGGGGGGGGGGGGGGGGGGGGGGGGGGGGGGGGGGGGGGGGGGGGGGGGGGGGGGGGGGGGGGGGGGGGGGGGGGGGGGGGGGGGGGGGGGGGGGGGGGGGGGGGGGGGGGGGGGGGGGGGAGTTTGGATTGGGGGGGGGGGGGGGGGGGGGCCGGAAAGGGGGGGGGGGGGGGGGGGGGGGGGAAAAGGGGGGGGGGGGGGGGGGGGGGGGGGGGGGGGGGGGGGGGGGGGGGGGGGGGGGGGAAAAGAAGTTTTTTAAAAAAAGGGGGGGGGGGGAGGGGGAAGGGGGGGGGGGGGGGGGGGGGGGGGGGGGTGGGGGGGGGGGGGGGGGGGGGTTTATAATTGATCCAAATATGTTTTAAAAGAGCGCCTCCTCAAATACGAAAGCATTATTATACTATATATATTGCTTATGCTTTATATATTTTTTTGTAGCGATTGTTATCGGCACCTGACTAATGTCAGCACCTAGTTCTGTCCCACCGCTCCAATCATTGCTGGATTTTAATAAAAGCTTGTCCGCCTATCACAAGTTCTAACTATTAAAAAGATATTTTACTACCCAAGGCTGCACATTTTGCTAACTCAGGCTTCTTAGTTTTTTAAGCGACTTGCGACTACCTAAATCGGCGTCAGAGGCAGGTACTCTCTCAAGCATTTTATAAGCACATTCTAGCATTTCAATTCATATCATTTAACATTTAATTAATTAGCATTTATTATTTTGTTATACGTGAGTGGTAAATATAGATCGAAAATAATATACTCTATTGTTCAAGCATCCCGTTGACACCCAGGAACCGTACAAGTATAATAAAAAAAAAATATATGTTATGTGTTTAGAATATTTCAATAGTTATGGTAAACTTAAACTATCAAGGCGATTAACAATGAGACAAAAATTATTTTAATTATGTGGTTACGCTTTTAAGTAAAATAAATTAAAATCTGATAGATAAGTAGTATCAAACTATTTCTTTAGTTACTACTATTAAGTATTTCTGTTTGTATTGCTTACATATACACAGATAAAATGTTTTATATTTATTAAGCATTACCTGGTTTAACGCGATGGCGAGATTGTTAAATAAAAAGCAGCATAATTCTAATAGTTAATATTTATTATAATTAAAATAAAATAATAAAAAAGCCTGATATAAAAGTAAAAGGCAGAGAGATTTATGAATTCATATTTTGGCAAACCAATTTGTTATCACAGGTTTTATTCATGGTTAAATTGAACCTTTAGAATTTAATCTCCATCACAGTATCTTATTGTATATGAAATAAGGTCCAATTATTTGTTAATATTTATTAAAGAGCTATGCTCTTAGTATATATTCTAATACATATTCTTAGTCTAAAAATGCATAAATAATTATTACATTAATATCTCTTAATATTAAGTTAAAATGGCTGACAAAATTAATCACACAGTTATAAATAAAGCAACGCTAAAATATTTATAATGTGAATATTTTAAAATATATAGTCGTTTTAGTCATGTCTACCTATGATACTAAAATCCATCAAAATTCGTCTAACTCCTAAATTATATTTACTTAAGTGCTAAAACAATTTATAGTTAAAAATAATATTTAGCTTTCCTAAATTGTAATTATATCTGCTGACACTGCATTTAACCGTGACCATGCAGATAAGAAAATTAACTTGGTTAATTGAAAAATGAGAACGACTGGAATAAATAATTTCCGAATACCAAAGCTTGTATGGCGACATTGTCTTAGGAACAGTTTATCACTTTTGGTTTATGCAAAAATCTTTCACCACTTATTTTTTAGAAAAAGGTATTGGCTATTTAGTTCAAAGGTCAATAAAAATATTTCAAAGGAATTCTAGGTTAAAAATATTGAAACGCATTCGGATTTCTATATTTTACGAGTTGTACTAACGATTGATTAGCCGTTAAATCGCATACATTTTTTGTTGTCTTATCTAAAGTCACTGAAGTCCGTCTTCAGCTGTATGGCGGGTTTGTTCGGACGGGACTCGAACACCGGGCGCTGTACAGGGCCAGAGTTACGACTGTTTTGGTTCGCTTTCACTGCGTTTTCTAGTTTAGTCCGAAGTTCAGATGATTGCTGCATTATCGCTTTGAATTCCTGAAAAATATTGTTATTTTAATTATTTATATTTTTTTGTTTAATTTTTGGGTGAAGCTGTGCGCACCTTGACACATTGGGTGGTAGTATGGGCGAGCCACATAGGAATAAAACAATCTACAAATAAAAAAAAAAAAAAAAAAGAAAAAAGGGAAAGGGGGAAAGAAGGAAGGAAAAAAAGAAGAAAAAGAAAATGGAAAAAAAAAAAAAAAAAAAAGGGGGGGGGGGAAGAAAAAAAAAAAAAAAAAAAAAAAAAAAAAAAAAAAAAAAAAAAAAAAAGAAAAAAAAAAAAGGGGGGGGGGGGGGGGGGGGAAAAAAAAAAAAAAAAAAAAAAAAAAAAAAAAAAAAAAAAAAAAGAAAAAAAAAAAAAAAAAAAAAAAAAAAAAAAAAAAAAAAAAATAAAAAAAAAAAAAAAAAGAAAAAAAAAAGAAAAAAAAGACCCCCGACCAGTTAAGGAAAAAAAAAAAAAAAAAAAAAAAAAAAAAAAAAAAAAAAAAAAAAAAAAAAAAAAAAAAAAAAAAAAAAAACAAAACACGAAAAAAAAAACACACAAACTTTTTTTTAAAAAAAGAAACACCAACGAAAAAGGGCCCAAAAAAAAACGAAAAAAAAAAAAAAAAAAAAGGAAAAAAACAAAAAAAAAAAAAAAAAAAAAAAAAAAAAAAAAAAAAAAAAAAAAAAAAAAAAAAAAAAAAAAAAAAAAAAAAAAAAAAAAAAAAAAAAAAAAAAAAAAAAAAAAAAAAAAAAAAAAAAAAAAAAAAAAAAAAAGGGGGGGAGAAAAAAAAAAAAAAAAAAAAAAAAAAAAAAAAAAAAAAAAAAAAAAAAAAAAAAAAAAAAAAAAAAAAAAAAAAAAAAAAAAAAAAAAAAAAAAAAAAAAAAAAAAAAAAAAAAAAAAAAAAAAAAAAAAAAAAACCCCCCCCCCACCTTTTTAAAAAAAAAAAAAAAAAAAAAAAAAAAAAAAAACAAAAAAAAAAAAAAAAAAAAAAAAAAAAAAAAAAAAACCCCCCACCCCAAAAAAAAACACCCCCTTTTTTTTTTTTTAAGGGGGGGCTTAGGTCGCTGAGCTCATGTTGGTTAAATTGATTGTTTTTTTATGTGTTGCTTAGTTTTAACAGCATAAATATCATTTTCATTCTAATATGTTTATCGTTTTAAATATTGCACGCCATCCCGATTATCTTGTCGTAAAACGTCCTCTACCCGCAGTTACCATATTATCAATTCATTATTCCACAGCCTGTATATAGGGTATATTGATTTCTAAGTTAAGAGTCAAAAAATCAGTTCGATAATTTTTTAAATATGGACGTATATGGATATGGATGTTACCATTAAACATCTGTGGCCATAGGTCAGAATATGATAAATGCCATTTCATTATTTTACAGGACAAGCAAATAAATTATTAAGAAATCTTGAAGGCACTATTAAAATATGAAACACTCAATATATGAATGAATGTACTTATTATTGTCTGATCTATGACCACAGAAATAATATTGACAGGTATTTGAAGTCGATTTAATTTCCCAAATTACTTTCTAAAAATGAGGGTAGGCAGACCTGTGGGTGCTGTGGTCCAATCTTCATAAGCCATTGTAGCGCGAAGTCGTGAAGCGTGCGGACGTGTGCTGGGGCTGCAGAGAGCGCATTTCCCTCGCGCAAATAAGATATCACTATAGGCACTAGTAGCCAAAGTAATTGGACGCCTGATAAAATTCAAACATATATTATATATTTTTATATGGTGTAACCAAAAATTTTTAAAATAGCTATATACTGTGGAATTTTTATAGCGCTAAAATTTAACTAAAAAAAAAACTTCATTTTATATTAAACAGATACAAAAATGCATTTATTATTGCGAATTTGTGGAAGAAAATCAGAGAAACATGAAAAAATCAACCAAAAAACTGTAAATTAAAACATAAGAAATATTTTTTTTTTGTTTGTTATCGTTTCCATGTTTTATGAAGAAATTCCAACCTGTATATTATTTTTTAAACTTCTTACCTCTGTGAGGATCATCTTGAGCCGCAAAAAGAAGTAAGAATTATCAATTTTATGATTTCTAATTCAGACTAGATATTATGTTGTATGTTAAATGCAAAATATGTTATATTAAGATATAAGATTTCAATAATTCGTAATGAAAATTATTTTCTCATTCTTGGAAACTATGTCGTGTAATAAAAAAAATATATATTTACGGCGTTTTTCGAAGCCAATGCCTTAATGATCCGAATTATAATCATATTCATTGTTACAAAAAGTGGACTACAATTAGTATATGTTTTTACCATGGTTACCATTAATTTGTATTGATGTATCGTTACAAACACGGTTCTAACTTCTGCGTTTCAGTATCAGAAACACTTACGTCCGGCCGTAGGTGCTGCCAACACCAACTCAGTTAGGGCTGACAAGGCGGCAGTGGCAGCCCTCACGTGTGCCGCGTCAGTCGCTTGCGAAGCAGTGGCAGCCCTGGCCACCAGCCGAGCTGCGAGTGCGCGAGCCCACCAGGATACAGTCTGCGCGGGCGCAGAACGAGACCAGATGTCGCGAAGTACTACGCAGCATGAGGCAAAGATCTGGAATTTATTAAAAAAATATTAACGTAGAATTAAGCGATACAATTTTGGTAAAAAGTATTATTAAATCTAAATTTCATAAACATACAAAGTTTTTTTATTTTTTTAGAAGCCGGATACAAAGTTCTTTATATTAATATAGATATATACTTGGAACCAGTAGCAACAATCTCACCTCATTATCCCTGGTATCAAGACAGTGTCTTATATGGTTAATGCAAGGGTAGTGAAGTAATGGGACTGCATCAACTTTAGCCAATAAAACGGCCATCGCTCTAGCGCCACATACGCTCTCTATACGCTGTTCACTGTCCTCTGAAACACGTAAAAGCTTCGTTGAAATTATATGTTTAAACCTCTTTTAAATGAGTATCGATTTGGATTCAATAAAAACTAGGTTGCAGGTTTAAAAATATCTTATACTAGTTTACTTTACCTTAAAAACTTTGAGGAACTTATAACAATTTACATTATATTGTTGATCCTCGGACATTTTTTTTCTTTAAAAAAAGGATAAGGCCGTTTGTCGGCATGACGGCGCTCGGGTGACGGGCGTGCGGTGGACACATGGCCATATTAAATGTAAGTATCGCTAAAGTACCACGTAGTTCGCAACTTGTCGTGAAGTACATTAAACGCTCCTGTGATGTATCGTTCACGGATTAGCGGATGAATCCAAAATTCTTTGCATCAGTCGATCGATCGCCTTCGAACGTACAGAAGCAGCAATTGTCACCGGTTGAAACTAGCCATCCTCCTAGTTTGTTTTATTTCTACTAAAAAGAAAACGCGACTACCACGCACGACAAAGCTCTAGAAAAAAGAAAAAATAAAACTACGGCATCGGCATACACGGGGTAAATTAGACTTGGGATTTTTTTTATTAGTTATCTTTTTTCTATAGAACAAAATATATAGGGGCAAACGGGCAGTAGGCTCACAAGATGTTTAGTGCCATTAGTAAGCCCATGGATACTTTCAATGTCAGAGGGCTTGCGAGTGCGTTGCCGGCCTTTGAATTGAAAGTAAAAGATTACGTACCACATAGGCACATGAGAAACTGATATTTAAACTCACCAGTCTTGACCCGTTCCACCAGCTTCGCAAGCGTGGTCTGCAATAACTGCTCGTGAGCCGCGCGTGTTTCGTCCGAGACACGCGCGACTCGACATTCCGCACCTCGCTGGAGGAGTAACACGCCCGCAGAGCTTAGTGTGGAATCGCCCTTACTGCAACGAAGTACTTCCGTTGCTAGGTAAAGGATTGTTGGTAGGAGAGATAGGGCACCTAAAAATATTTTATAAGAATATATAGAGATGTTCAAAAGCTATACTTCTATTATAATCATAACCAGTAATAGCAATCCTGCTATTCATTATTACTTTGAATTATCTTTAAGTATAGAAACAACTATTATCGTTATCGGTATATTTCCTTAAATTAAAACCCTTTTAAAACACTGGTTATTACTGGTTATGGATAAAAATAAAAATTCTAACAATAGTAACCGCACTTTTTAGGGATTTATTAATTCTATTAGAGAAATTGCATTCACATTAATCTATACTACAAAGTATTTAATTAAAACATTATACAACCACCTCCAATATACGAACTGAACATTTATGTGCTCTGTATGTATCACATATGCTGTATATAAGTATATATTTTTAGGTGACCAGATTCTAGAAATTCAAGATAAATAGGTAAAAAGGAATAAATATTTTATTTATTTAAAATAAAAAATAAAATAAATCTTACCCTGGGGACTTGTTAATGTAGTCAACTCAGACATGGACACCAAACTTTTCACCAGTAATGTATCTCCATGAATCCCAAGTCCCTTCCTCACTCCAATCACGCCCACTCTCCCCTCTTGCTTCAAAGGGCTAAGGTTTGGAAGCCTTCTAACGAGGAAACATAGACAGACTTCCAAACATGCGAAGACCAGAGACTTTCCCGGTGGGAGGTCTCCTGTTGGCCCACCTTCCCCTAGCGTGTGGACCACTTCTAGCACAGATTGGGGAATTTCACTGGCAGCTTCATTTGGAGCTAGTTCTGAATAAAAATGATGACTTTTCATTATTTCTGATGGACTATGCTAATGTTAACGGATGGTTTCGATATTTTTTTGTGATCACCGTGTCTTAAGTTGTCTAAAGGCTTCAACGCCAGTTTTAACTATGAATATAACATGGAGGTTTCATTCATGAAGAATAATATAATAAATTAAAAAAAGAAAAGATAACAATGCCAAAAAATCAAGTAAAACAGTTGTTTAGCTGGTGTATCGAAACTTACGTGTAAATTATCATAATAAGCTAATACTGTGTGTAAAATATATTCACCTATCTTTATCATTAAATGTTCTACGCGTTACTAACTAATGAAACACGTATTTTACACCCACGACGCACACTTTTATTTATGAAAACAATATCAAACGCACCGATGAATCAGCGACTTGATACAAAAAACACAAGCATATAAATATGAGAAATACCTTTGATTTTCTGTTGCATCTGCTCATGCAATTGCTCCCTTGCCCCCAATACCACCAATTGCAGTACATCAGCGGCCAACAGCAATGCTTCGATGCTCTCTTGGGTCAGACCACTGCGGTGGATTATCTGACATAGCTCAATGGCTAGGGCCCTGTAATGGTACTTTAGATAAAACCAGATAATTTTAAATCAACTCTTTTTGTTATTTGTGAACCTTTTTGAAGCTGTTTGTTGTTCTAGAATATTTATAAACCAAAATTGTTAGTGATTTTGGGACAGATGTCAATAGCCAAAATTTAAAGATTTTTTTAAACAAACTTTAGAACCAGTTAAAACATTTAGTAAAAATCGCATCAACCCATACTTAGTTGTTAGTATAATTAAAAGTCAATATTAAATATACCTTTACCAACATACAGATATATATATATATATATGTAGTTAAAAATAATATAGAAAACATAAATAAAAAATTATACATCGTTTTTAAAATGTAAGTTTCAAAAACAACTTTTAAACTATGAAAAAGAGTAACAAATTTTACATACATGACATAAAAGTTTTCAATTGACAAAAGTAAAAATCCAAATATACTAAATTGAATTGGAATGTTTATGTTTTGTTCTATATAGTTAACGAACCTTTCTTTAAGAAGCCTCGCTCTGTTTTCCGGTGCATCTAGTAAAGTAACCAGCGACAATAGAACTGATTTTGTATTATCCACACTCATATCACGCTGAGCACACAATGCTTCCATACATATACCTACAAAACGTACATATACTTATTTTTAAAAGCCGGAAAAAACAAACCGGACAAGTATTATTTTCTTTTTTATCTTTAGCCGGCAAATCTGAAGGTATTTTTTACTAATAAATTTATTTATCAAAGAGAGCGTTCAAGTATTACGTCACGCAATTTTTGGAGATTATTGACACAATAATGTTTCATGACCACCTAGTGACTCTTATGGTGCGTTCCGTCACGCAATTTTTGGAGATTATTGACACAATAATGTTTCATGACCACCTAGTGACTCTTATGGTGCGTTCCGTCACGCAATTTTTGGAGATTATTGACACAATAATGTTTCATGACCACCTAGTGACTCTTATGGTGCGTTCCGTCACGCAATTTTTGGAGATTATTGACACAATAATGTTTCATGACCACCTAGTGACTCTTATGGTGCGTTCCGTCACGCAATTTATGGAGATTATTGACACACCCCCCTTCTTCAGAAACGATAGCTTCTACAACAATTTCTCTTTCAGAATCATATAATGTTATTTTTCGTGTCGCCATCTTTAAGCTATCGCTATATAATATCATATTTCAAAAACAATATCAAAAATTGCGCCGAATTATTCTCAACGTTCCCTTTGACCCACCTCTTTAGATGGGTCGTTGTAAGCTTTGCGTGAGCATTAGTCATGACGTCATGAATGACGTTTTCGCCGTGACCACAACGACCGTGGTCGGTATGTGGAATGGCTAAAGGAGAATTTTGATCGTCGTGAGCGCTTAGTGGAACGCACCATTAATACCTAAAAGTTACCATTATGTGGTGTAAAGTACTGGAAAGTCGAAAATAATATTAAAAATTATAGTAATATTTATTGAATCACAACCTTTTTCACAGTATGATGAATAAAGTGATATGGAGGGAAATCTGTATAAATTATAGCTTTGAGCAATAGAATAGAAAGTATAAATTCTTACCAAAGAGCAAATGAAATCTTTCGTCGACTGGTTCGAAAAATTCAAAGTTGCCATTTTCAGTTTTTGTCATTTTGTTATCAACATTGTCGGTCATATCTGTAAATATAATAATAATAATTAACAATGATTCGATAAAAAAAAACTCTATTTCAATATATGCTTGCTGCATTACTTTTGACTAAATGAAAATTAATCTACGCAAAATGTCTATGAATAAAATTATGGCGAATCTAAGCTAAAGTTGCAAACTGTATTTAGGGCAAATAAAATTGAGACAATAATGACTAATATTATCAATACTATGAAATGATAAAATAAAATAAATTTCGTCTCACCACTGCGTGAGGGTATATTCTTGAAACTCGCGTTATATCTCAAAGCAGCTGCATACAAAAGTGACGGCCACGAAGTTGCGTAATGCGCCCGCGACCCTTCCGCTGTCTCCGCTGAATAAAACGCTCCACCGCCATGCGGCAATTGGGATGCGAACTCTGAAATATTCATATAAATATCCTCTTAAGTATTTTGTATTCCTGAATCTATACAATTATTATAAAAGAGGAAAGATTTGTATGTAAGTAAGTTTGTAACGAATTGGCTTAAAATTACTGGACCGATTTTAAAAATTCTTTCCCCATTTGAATGCTACATTATCCCTGATTAATACATGCTAATAAAGGCTTTAATTGCAAGAAAAAAATAAGCATCCCTACTAAAACTACAATAATGTTACCCAAGAAGTAAGAAAAATGCCTATAAAATATATTTCATCGATTGCGCTGCGATTGGTGAAGAATATATTAATATCTACCAAAAATGTTTAAAAAAAAAATCCACCCGTGCGAAGCCGGGACGGGCCGCTAGTAATCTATAATTTGAATTATTGCGATTGTCTTAAATAATAAATGCGCAATAAAAATTAACATTATTTTTTAATTAATTCTTATCATATTATATTTTAATTATAAATGCCGTTCATGGTTAATTATTACTAATTTTCAATTATTCCCTTAAAATTTAAAATGTATATAGAGTAACTCTTAAGGTCCCTTATATATATAGGCTTAGTCATATCGTTTAATATAATTTATCAGGACAACATATTTGACTGAAACAATTATTGTTACACTGGAAATATAAACCAGGACCTCATAGGTTGTGTTGCCTAACATCTTGTTATAATTGGCAAAAACATCGGTAAACAAACCTGGCGGCAAACTCAATAAAGCGTGGTCCCTCAATGCAGCCAGCCAATTCTCACTAAGACTCTCCAGCTCTGGTTCAACCAGTTTCAACAAACTCTCTCCTTTACTCTCGAACTCTCCATATTCGTCATCCTCTTCTATATTAGCGTTGTCTATTTCATTATTGTTCTGCAACACCTGGTTTTTCCACTTCGCGATTTCAGATTGGTTGTTTATAGGCTTCGTGTCTAGTTGTTTCACGTAGCTACCGGGCGCACTGTCGTTGCTCACCATTGCTACTATGTATACCTAAAAATTGTATAATGATTAATTCTATACTGCTAGAATATCAAAGTTGCCTGAAAGAAACCGCTAGATGGCCTGTGTTGCACTCGTAATTAACATCGTGCAATTAAGTGTTAAAAAATATTACTTCTAGACGACCCTAATTTCCCACGTTTCGTAGTTATTTTGATTTTTCATACACATTCCATAACATTGAATTAATTAAGACTTATTAAACTTAAACTTTTAAAAATTTATAAAACAAATTGAATTAATACCTCGGCCCAAGCTTTTAATATAGAAAGCTTCTCCAACGTAGCCATACTTTCATTGTATATCAATGTGGTATTTCCCTTTTTGTTTAATTTGTCCAAACTGGATACTAGGAGTTGATGAACTCTGAGAAAAAACATCAAAATTAAGCCATCTCATAAATAAAAACGACTAATGAAAGCAGTTTAAGATTTCGTTTAAAAAAAGACATAGTTAAAATTAATCTATTAATAAAAACCTCACCTGCGTAAATCATTAATATCTCTGGCTACACCGCAGCCGATCCAGGCAGAGCATACGTCACACGCGGCCGCGGTTACGTGCGAGGCCGTGTCTCCGGCGAACGCAGGACGTACTGCCGCGCCTACCTGAAACGTGTTTACCGATACATTATATCTATTAAGTATGGACAAAAAAAGGTAAAATTTAGTTTTTTGTTTTTTAATCTTGAAGCTTAATTTAGTGTCTAATACAATTTAGATTAAAATACAAGTTTACTAATATTTAAATTTAATTCTAGAAACAATCTTTAATACTGTGACTTTAACACATTTAAATATAGTTTTTGACTAATAAGTTATATGCGCAAAAGGCATTTTAATACTAAATGTTCATGTATATATCTTTTTCTTTGAACATTTTAAAAATGTTTATTACATTATTTACATAATTTGACGTTACGAATGCCTTTTTACAAACAGCAATCGTGGTCAGCGACCGAAGACGCTCTTTAAATATTTTTTTTAAATATCGGCAACGTACCTGTGCTTGATATTGTTCCATAAGCAAGTGACCAGGAAAATCAGGTTCCGGCGCTCGTGCATACTGCTGTATGATCATTTGTAGGGTTTTTAACCCACACAGCCTTAGCGCATCAGATTCGCCCGTAGCTCCCACAAACGCCATACGAACCAAGTCCGATAAGTGAAGGGATAGATAGTCACCTGATTTGTGAATTGAATATTATTTAAAACAAATAACTCTCTAGTTCCGTTAAAACTTCGAAAATATTGTAAAATAACGTAAAATACGATAATTTTTTTTTAATACATATATGTATATCTTTAGTAATGATGAAAATAAATTATTTTTTACAAAGATAAAATTTATTACACTTGTTTTAATACCTTCAGAAATTCTAATTAATTTAAGAAATATTCAAGACTAAAGAGAATAAAATTACAAAAACTTTATAAATCTTTGCAAACACTAAGTAAAACAATAAATAATCAATAATGTAATACCATTAGGATCCATTCGAAGTCTTTCTTTAGCCTTAACAAGGTCAAAGTGAGCGGCCTCGCCAGTCGCTTCACAAGCTGACATAATCTTTTGTATGCATTCCATTGCAAATACCTGTAAAACGAGTACAAAATCACAAAATATAATACAATAGTGTATATAACGTATCAAGTGCGCTTGCTTTGAAGGTCTTTCGCGAACTACATTTATTTAGCAAAGAATAGTTTCATCTATGGAAATATTGCCTAATATTATTTTTATAATAGCCGGCAAAAAGTTTTTATTAATTGTAATATATTATCTGTTATTATTAATCACAGTTGTATCTGTATTGTCTATGCAAATTAAGAAACAAAAAAATGTGAATTTAGTCCAAATTAAAAAATGGCTTGCAATGGGTTGGTTACAATGTACCTTCGTAGTGGCCACAATTAACTATTATATAATTACTTTAAGGTGCGCTTACACGAGGGCAATAATTGCTCGGCGACACGAATGGACCGATCTGGAGCAATTAATGGAGCAATTCAATAAATTTCAATAAATTATTTCGGCGATATTGCTTCTAATTGCTCCAGATATTTCATATCGCTCAATGTCGCAGATACGAATTGACGAATATCCAATGGACTTGGAAATTCCTAGCAATTTTTGTATATGTCTCATTCGCACTTGTTTGTTTTGCGGCTTGCCGTCTTGCTTCCGCGGGGAGAGCGAGAGGTCTAAATAATAATAATTTCTAATTACTTTATTCAAAAGTAATTCAAAGTCTGTTCGTGACATTCTAGTAAAGTTTTTGAATAATATATTATCTAATTCTTGAAAAAAAAAACAATTAAATTAAAGAATTAAAGAAAAATTTAAAAAATAATAAATTAAAAATTTAATTAATTAATTATTTTTTTCTTTAATTGTTTAATTTTATTTTCACAATGAAAATTGCGGCCTCTTTGCCAAAAACGATCGCACCCAGATTTGACGCACCAAACGCCTTTTCCTTTTCTTTCTTTTTTGTTTTTGATTAATAATAAAAAAAGCGCTACAAGCCGCCGCAGCAAGAAGAATGTCGTCCATAGCGAGCGAATACTGAAATGCTCGTGTAGGACAGTATTGCCTAGTTGATGAAGTTGCGCCATATCGCTCAATATTGTATTGCGCAGTATTGATGCTTGTTGCCGTTGCCGAAAATTGCTTGATGTAGTCGTGACGTCATAATTGACGAGTATTGACTGGAATTGAGCAATTTTAGTTGCCCGTGTAAGCGCACCTTTAGAATTAATAGAAATAATTTTTTTGCATTGCATTAACAACATATTATATGTAAAGTCCTTTTTAAAAGCAATGTATTTAGTAATAAATAAAATAAGTTACATAAATAAGACACGTCTGTTCCATATTCCATTTACGTGTTGCGTCTACAGAATATAATACAGTTATTTTAAATCCGAATATACAACATACCCGTGTAGGCCATCGTGGCTGTACGGCGGGATGCGTAGACTCTTCCGATTCCGCGTGGAACTCTGCTTGATCATCATCGCCTTCTGCGTCTAGATCTGTATCCAGGTTGTTGCTATCCTCTGAAAATCCCACATTAACCAGTTTTGTATGAAATTGAAATAAATTCTTACTAATAGATAGTTTGGATTCCTTTACACAGTACTAAAACACTAGCTATTAAGAGTCCCTTTCCGAAAACAAGAAAAATTTTACACTTAATAGCATTTGTTTGTTGTCATTCGTTTAGCGGTTCTAGGCCTAAGACGCGTACATCATTTGATAATTGGTGTCGATTATAAGCTCACATTATTTTTGAAAAATATCTTTATACGGTAATATATATAAACCAAAAACAATTAAACAATTCAAGTGTTTTTATAAATTCCTGTACGCCAGTATTTATATCGCTTTCCGCTGTATTCCTAAGTAATATTCCGTCTTTAGTCTGTGTCCGAGTCCCGTCGTGGGATTTAAATTTTAAAGTCGCTGCAGTGCTATAGTACCTATTCGTTATGTTGACACTGTTACGCCATTCGCCAATATTAGTCTTAGTATCAATAATTACATTAAATGTATTGTTAGCGGACTAACGCCATCTTGGAGCAAAAACCTATATAACGCGAAGCAAAACCGGCGTTGAGTGACTTTTATTTCGATACTTCGTGCGGAACGGACGTGTTACTTACCTACCCTCAGTAAATTTTAAAAGTGTAAAGTACCTACACGTTCTAATCTTTAGATTTTTGTTTTTTTTTGTTAATTCAATTTCGTGTGTATTCTTTTGTTTTTAAATTAAATCCGCTTCTGTTAAATGCATAAAACTACCAAGTCTATCAATTTAGAGGCCTTAGAAGCCAATAGTGACTACAACTTTAAAGCAACTCACCCAGTTTAATAGTAAGTACGCGTTTAGCGAGTGCGAGCCATTCCTTAATGGTGCCATTAGCAGCTGCGGCCAAGAGGCAGCAAGTGAGCGTATCACGGGCGTGTGATAACGCTGTTTCGTCACGCTCTATGTCTAGATAGGCGAATAAGGCACCTGGTAGACCTGTTTCCGTTATTACTACACCTGGAAAATTTTAAGACCTTAGTACACGTTTTATAGTAGTAACGACGTAGACCACTTAAAAACGTGTTTAAAATTTTACTGAAATCTTTTCATTCATCTGAAATACTTAACAAATTTTTTCTGGTGAGGTATTATGAAAATGTTCGGTTTGCAACTGTTTAGTTCTCTGTATTATAAGAAAAGTATAGTCATTTCTTTTACATAAGTCTATTATTATCGTCAAAAGGAATGCCAATGTACAAAATGTTTACATTGAAAATTTAAAAATGCAGTATACACGGTACTACGTCATGTTTTTTTACACTTGAGAAGTGATTATGTACGTAGTTGGTCCCAAAGTTCTGTCACTGGCACATTATTTTTAAATTACGAACATGATTTTATAAAAAAATTATTGCATTCTATTTTTGATTGTTTGACTATTGTTTTAAAACAAAAAACAATCACTTTCCGTAAATTTTCAAGATGGAGTGGACATTGAAAGAAAACCGAATAGCTGTTATTGCGTTGCACCGCTGTGGGCACTCGGCGAGTACCATTTTCAAGTTGCTCAAAAATTTAAATATAACGCTTAGGTTTGTGTACCGTACTATTGATAGGTACAATGAAGTCTCCAGTGTTGAGGACAAGAAAAGAACTGGCCGGCCACGCTCCGCAAGGACACCAGCAGTGATCAAAGCTATCAAGGCGCGGATAGCAAGAAATCCTGTCCGAAAACAGAAGTTGATGGCTTTGCAGATGGGTGTCAGTAGGAAAACAGTAAAAAAGGTTTTAAATGAAGATCTTGGTCTACGGGCATACAAAAGAAAGAGTGGGCACCTACTTAATGCTCGTCTAAAAGCAATAAGGCTTAAGAGATCGCGGGGTTTGTTAAAGCGGTACGCGAAAAACCGACACCGTGATATCCTCTTTACGGACGAAAAATTTTTCGATATTGAAGAGAAGTACAATAAACAGAATGATAGAGTGTACGCTAGGAGTTCTGAAGAAGCTGGAAATAAAGTTCCGAGGGTGCAACATGGACATCATCCATCATTAGTAATGGTCTGGTTGGGAGTGTCCTATTACGGGCCAACTGAGGTTCATTTTTGCGAAAAGGGGGTCAAAACCAGTGCAAAAGTGTATCAAGACACGGTTTTGGACCAGCTTGTCAAAGACCTGCCCAGCACGCTATTTTCGGGACATCACTTTGTGTTCCAACAGGACTCTGCGCCTGCACACAAAGCCAAGACCACTCAAACCTGGTTTGAGCGTCAAAACATCGACTTAATTAGACATGAGGATTGGCCTTCCTCCAGTCCAGACCTTAATCCTTTGGACTATAAAATTTGGCAGGTCTTAGAGAGGAAGGTCTGTGATAAACCCCATAAAAATTTGGAGTGTCTGAAGTCATCTTTAAAAAAAGCAGTCACTGAAATCGACATGAATATGGTGCGTGCTGCGATAGACGTCTGGCCGCGGCGCTTAAGGGCCTGTATTAAAAATAAGGGAGGTCATTTCGAATAATTTTATGCTATTTCTATTTCTTAATTTATGTACTATTAATTGATATATCACTCATTAAAAACTGATCAGTACTTTAGTTTTTATCATTATTTCTATTTATGACAGAACTTTGGGACCGACTACGTATTTAATATATAAAATAATCTTTGTTATAATACATTTATATGTATTATTATCTTCTGTGGGTGTTTATTATTAAATACCTACTATACGGCTGGACTGATTTTGATGATTTTTTTGTGGCTTATTCAAGAATGGTTTAGATTTGCAATTCGATGATTTTCTGTCGGGTTCGCTAGTAAATAGTAAAATACTGACCACAATAAGGCTTAGCGGGCACGTGGTCTTTAGCCAGCATCGCGTATTTGCAGACTTCACCGGCCTCCTTCTGAGACAACTGACGGAGGCAGCATAATGCCGCACGACGGACTGACAGTTCAGGCGAAGATAGGTCACGCTAGTAAATGACATTTAAAAGTAATTAATAAAGGTATATTTTTAATTGTTTTTATTTAAAATTCACCAAGACTTGAGAATCAAGTCAATATCTGTAATTACTATCAATAAATAGTAATTAAAATCTGTATTAAAGATATTTTGTCTTCTTTCCAAATTAACAATAGGATTCAAAACCCTTAGGAAAAAACTTGACAGCCAAAACAAATGGCAAAACCACAATCAAGCAATTGTTACTCTTTGGTTAGGTCTGATGAGTATTTAGTTTTTACGGATTAGATCAACAGTTTTTCTGTTGTCAACCCTCCTATTTTCTTTATTCGGTGCCACAGTACACTTACACATAACGCAGGAACCAATGTATGTATGTTAATATGTCTCGGTGCGAACATCTGCAACTGTTGCAAACATCCTGTGGCCTCAGCGCGTGGCCCACCTGATCCCCCGCCGCATTCCTGAAGAGCTGCGCACGCGCATATGAATCGGCCTACTGCTGCGCCGCCGCATGCTACAAATTTAAATAATAAAACTAGTTAATTATAATACTTTGTATGTAAGCTTGAAGACGAAGAATTAAACTTTAATATATATATTTTTGTGCTATGCCGTAATTTATAAAAATAAAAACATATATATACCTTGCAACTCCGGTCCCAGTACAGTAATGAGTGCAGCCAAAAGTCGTCCCAAAGCACATCTCAAAGAATCACAAGCGGGTGGCGAATTGAATACCAGACGTAGAGCGGTACTAACAGTCCATTCTACGTGACTTCGGAACATTGGGCCCGATGCGTCCACTACTACTGAGAGGCCGTGGATGGCCCACACCTGTGAAAAGTCAATCAATAATTATTTTATATTTAATTAAACGCATATAGAGTCCTACTTAGGACATAGAAAACATACAAAAAACCTGATATTTAATGGTTTAAAATATAAAAACTCTTCTCTAATAAACATGGAAGTGGATCGTTTGGCAAGCGTAAAATATTTATCTATAATTTTAAATAAGAAATTTTTTACGTCAATTATGAAATTTTTTAAATGTCTTTTTTTATAGTACTGGGGCAAATGCGCAGGAACCTCACCTGATATCTCAATGGGCTCGCGAGTGCGTTCCGGCCTTTTAAGAATTGGTACACTCTTTACTTTCTATTTGTCATAGACAAGTCTCAACTACGGAGTGTTTGGATGGGATTAAATGAATAATGTTTTTGGGACTTTAAATTATGCCACTTACTTGAACTTCGATTGCACTTGTATCCTGAGCTAACGCTCTTAAGACCGGCAACGCTGCAGCGCTTGAAGACGCACCTCTAGCCCTTTGTACAGCGCCTACAGCCGCTGCAGCTGCCGCCCTAGTTGGGCGGTTAGTGCTAGTCTTCGCTAAAGTAATCACTCGCTCGCTAAGGGCTTGACTCTCCGCTTCAGATATACAGCTACAAAGGCGTCCAACGCATGAAGCCGCTGCAGCGCGGACTGTTGCACTGTTTGCTGAAAGTCCTGCCTGCAAATGGATCCACTTTTGTAACGGTGTTTATATTTCTATAAACCAATAGAAAAACGCAATTATTTTTCCTATAAATTAACAATAATATACTTATCTTAGTAACGTTTTATTTTGCATATCTAATGTGATTATTAAAAATTTAAAATTAGTAGTTAAATAAATGCCCTGTCTTTTTTTTTAAAGACAATGAAACAGAAGTTGAAAGTCAAGATCAGGTTTCAAACTGATAAAAACAGAAAGAACAGTATAATTCATCTAGATAAATTGGTTAACAGCCAGGGTTCGAACACACAACCTCAAGCTTAAGAGCCACAATCTATGTACTTTAATAATTTATTTTAACCAACAATAATATTTAAATGCAAGATATACTCACAAATATAAGCTCAGTGCATGTGTTCTTCACTGGATCTTGCCCTAGCGAGGACTTCATCTCGGCGAGCGTACGTAGAGCGAGCAACATCGCAGTGTATACGTTAATCTGTATCGCCTCTTGACGTACGCCCTTTGACATTTTGATGCACTCGGCGAAGTGTTCCAGCATTTGTTGTCTAAACAATTTTTTAAACCAATTTTGGCATCAATTATTCTGAATATCAGAGAAAAGAAAAGGAAATTTTATGGAAAAGTGAACTTGATAGAGCTTAAATGTGGTTGCTAGGAGCGTATTCCTAATTAAATGGAAATGCCCAATATGATAGTTGAAGATTAATTCTTCCATCATTCTTAATAACTTTCAAACTTTAGTGTACCACTAATCAATGCATAAAAAGATCTTGAATTCAAGATCAAGATTCAATTCCTAATCATGAATAAAAATATTAATAAAGTTATTTTTTACCTGTGTTTGTTTGCTGCTTTTGAGAATATCTGCGGGAACAAAACAACAGATGCGTCTATCACGGCCACGCCTAGTGGCTGTGCACCTGACAACTTCCGGTACAAACAGCAAGGATCATGTTCTAAAGCCCCAGAACCGCTGGCACTTAGTCCCGATATCAGCTGAAAATGTAATTAAATTTGTTTAAAAGGGATCTCTGAAAAGGAAAATAAATACGAAATATATTTAAAAAGACAAGAATTATTATTTATACATTTTTGCTTGTTCAAAACGCTTGAGGTGTAATGCACGCATGCAACTTTACTTAATATAATAAACTAGCTGACCCGGCAAACGTCGTTTTGCCATGTATATAATTTCTAGGAAACATTTTTATAGTTCAATAAAAATAACTATCTACTATAATAAAAAATAGGGGTTGATCGTAGGAGGGGTGACAATTAAGGGTTGCATGTATTTTTGTATACTGTTTGTAAAATTTTGTCTAAAGAATAAAAAAAAGGTTTTTTGGGGTGGGGGTGTCGTTAGGGGTTTGAAATACAGATAGTAGCTGATTCTCAGACTTACTGAATATGCATTAAAATATTCATAATAATCGGTCGAGACGTTTCGGAGGAGTATGGGAACGAACATTGTGACACGAGAATTTTATATATTAGATATTAATAAAAATCTTATATATCTTATACATCTTAGTTAACGCTTTATTTTCCTAAAAATTATACTTCTTACCTGTTCCTCAATATCAGCATGATCTGTGTCATAGATCCAATTTTCTTCATCAAGTAGGATTGTATCTCGCGGATGCATCGCGTGACGGAGCATACCTTCGAATAAATACATAGTTTAATTTTGAAACAAATTCAAGTATATAATTAAAATATAGTATAGTATCACCAATTATCTATATCCTATTTAATTAAAATCCGTTAAAAAATATTTTGTATACACAAACTGAGACAGAAATAAAATTTTTTGGCTGATGGCAGTACCACCTTTCAGGTCGAACTGTATAAGCTACAAAGGCGGGTACATCTTGTACACGATAATTAATAAATTATCTGAAATAATAATAATCCATTATAATAATGAATGTAATGTTGCATACATTAATATACAAAAGAAAATCCATTAAGGCATCAACAGAGGCTTATAATCCATAATTAAACACAGGGTCTCAGGTTAAATTAAGTCCGCCAAAGGGATATGTTTAATGAGAAATGAGCAAATAAAATAATAATAACATGTGTTTCTGGATTGCACACTTAAGACAGTGTGTCGTCGCTGCGACTCGTAAAAGTAGATTTTACCTGTGGCAACATTAGCTCCGCTGGGTTCGGCAAAGCCGGCCAGCTCGGCGGCCAACAATCGCAGAAGGGGCGGGGCTGGTGCTCCCGCGGCTAAGGCACCGCATGCCTGGTATAAGCGGAGGCGTAGAAGGGCAGCGGGGGCTTTAAGCGCACCGCCATAGTTCCGTACTACACCACCCACGCTGTTTGAAAAAAAAAACACCTCGTATACAGATACCGGAAAACTTCTTGAGCATTAAACAAGGGAGTGGGGAAAAGATCGCGAGACACAAACTTCATCTGATTTACCAATCACGCGATCGACACGTCACTCTACAATCACCGCCCGCAGTGATATTTTTAACATTTGTTCAAGATGTTTGCCGATATCTATACTAGAACGTTAATTAAACTGATCAGCTGACAAACTTTTTTTCTATATAGTACAGACATGATAGGACTGGTCAAAAAGGAACTAGGGCAGAACCATTACAGCGATGTGCTGACAGGATCGAAGGGTTAGCTGGACAAAATTGGATAACGATAATTGTATCGAATAGTTCCTACTGAAAAGTCCTTAATGAAACACGTACTTGGTGAGTACAGCGATAGCACCATCCATGGGTTGGGTGAGTCGTTTGGCTGTATCATCGTTGTGTACAAGCGACGGGCAGTGAATCAACAAACTGTGTAGTGCTGACAAGGCGCCTGCTCGGCCTTCTAATGTCACCTGCAATTAATTAATCTTCGTATAAGACCAGCAGGGTTATCACGTACTTCAGTATAAAATAATAGCTTTAAGGCAAAAAGAAGATAATAAATTTGATAATACTCTTTGACGCGTATTATCAAATCTTTTAATTATTTGTTGGCAACAAATGTCGGTGGACCAAACATAATAGACATTTAAAAATCCTGACCTACCTTGCGATTAATTAATACGCTGAATGATACATTAATTTGCTAAAAAAAACGACAAAGGTCATCCAACGTATTTCGAAGTTAGGTTCAGAATTTCGATCGACAGCTTTACGACTGATTTGAGCGCGACCGCCGCTGTGAAAACCGCTGTGTGAGTTCGAAAAGTGAGTTACAGAATCGCAATTCTGAACCTAACTTCGAAATGACAACGTTGGATGACCTTTGTCGTTTTGTTTAACAAATAAATGTATCAGTCAGCGTATTAATAGGTATACATAATTAATTAAAGCTAAATAGTAAAGTGATACTTGAATGAGTTTCCTATGCCAGAGTTACCTGCCAAGTGAAAGCATCTCCTCTGGCCTTTTCAGACTCCAGCTCTTTAGCTGACCTCGGGAAGCTGTTCCTCCATAGTAGTAACATACGTGGAAGCAAACCGCGTACCACGGGAACACCTGTATTAAAATTAGATAGTCAGCCATAGCTAGATTCCATTCCAACGCCCTTACTCTGCAACTTCCATTAACGATCCTGAACGATACCATGAGTTCGATGTAGTTCTATCAATATCCGTAACCTTAGGATCGCGCTGTACAAAAACGCTATTGGAATTTACGAGTAAGAACCCTGATATTCTGTAGACATAAGAAAAATCGTAGAGAAAAAAAATATAGCCTATATTTTATTAGTTATTCTGGAATTTATAAAATTGCATTAGCAGATTTTGAGTAAACGCAACCCAGCCCAGCCCACCGATTAAAAAAAACTCCACTTTATAATATTAGTAGGGAAAAATATAACTAAAAAGAAAAAGAACACAGCGTCTTTTTGTTTTGTTTTTTATGTTTTTACGGGTCAAAATAATCTCGAATACACCATTCAAACGATTTTAATACCTAAAGTGCAAATTGCTCCAACAATTAGCCATCCGGCATTAGTCCTAGCCGCAGTCAATCGGCTGCTTTGTCCAGCTGACCGTAGCAATTGCTCGGCCGCGTTGAATGCGATTTTGCCACGACCGTGAGGTACGCCTAATGGCGAAGATCGAACCGCTCCTAATATGGCAGCTAGCGCGGCTGAGTAACCTGAAAAATTACTTACTTATTAGCTGTATTAGGCCTGTATTCCAAAAAAAAAGTGCGTGCGTACAAAGTAAACATGTCAGAAGTGAAACTCCTTCGGCAAACTAATTTCTAAGTCTTGTTCATGTTTAAACAAATCTAAAACTTTAGATTTCCGACACTTAGAGGGAGGGATAAGGAAGATATGTTGGGAATTTCATTCTCATTAAAATATTTAAAGTGTCGAAAATTTTAATACAAATTATACATTGAATTTTTAAATTTATTTTTTCCATAATAACAACACGTGGCATTTCAATTTACAATTTATAATTTGAGATTTCAATAAATTATTTTGCATAAAATATAAAATACATACCTACTAATATTTCATAAATTCTCTTTACGAAATTTCAAGGAGCTCGTATTAGGAGCTCCTTCAACTAATCGGACTTAGGTAAAACGTGTGCGAAATACTCAAGTTTCCTTTTCTTAACCGTCATCATACGTCATACGACGATGACGTCATAGACACTTTTATAAACATATAGACTTACAAACATATTTAAGACCATTCTATAAAAAATATTAATATTTTTTTAATTTTACCAGAAATATGATGGGGCGTAGGCCTAGCGACGTCCAGGGCATCGCAGGCTCTATCTAAGAGCGGAGTTATAAGCGCCGGCAGGGCTTCGCACACACAACGGATAGCGGCTGCAGCGGCTAACCGAGCTGCTACACATGGATGCTCTAGTACCTTCAAAATTAAGACACATTATATTTTAATTTTCTTTCTTGTATAATCCAAATATTCTATCACATATCTAAATATCTAGTATCAAATGCTGTCTACGTCTTTCATAGAGACGACTTCCAATTAGTTCCTTAGTTGAGAGTTCAAATTAGCTTACACATTTATAATAGTGAGATTATTAATCCGTACAATATTTTTTATTGTACGCAATCAATTTACACTAGAAATAGTCAATTGTTTTTATAGAGGGCAAACGGGCAGGAGGTTAATGTTAAGTGAAAGCCCATGGAAACACTGGACTACATGAGGTACAATTATTATTGTTTAGAGGAAAACCACTATATTTATTTAATCGTATGTATTATATTGTCTACATGTCTTATTAATATTTGCACTTGAATATATATTTTATTCGTTTTAATTATTGTTAACTGTTACACACTCAATGATTCGAAGCCACTATGATTATTACTCAGCCATGACATATTATAAGAATAGACACATATGCTAAATACCCATGTCACAGACAAACTATAGAAGAGATAATACATAACTATAATACATAATGTAGTTATTTTTGAAGTTATACTTCTTTAGGCGCGTTATGAAAAATTGATGAGAGTGAAATTTTACGATGCGCGCGCACCGTGACACAAAATTAACAGAATGAAGTTGCCCACGGAAGATGCTAGGGCATTGTACATAATTTAATTTTTCAAATGTAAACTGAGATTTATTGACTATAATGACTCCTTTTCCAGTCTTTGATTATTTAATTGTAATTAATTATTTGCATGCAATCAAAAACTATTTTTAATAATGCCAAAGAAGTATAACTTCTTACGCGCGTACATAAGTACACGCACTTTTTTTTATTTGTTTCTATGAAACTGTTTTACAACATCCAATCTTCTAATTTTAAAACTATTTCAGTTTCTTCTATACAATAATAGTAATATAATATTAAGATTACCGTAAACATAGTGTCAATCATCTTCAAAGAGGTATCAGAGACAAGGTTGTGTACTGATGTGCCCAATTGTACTGACAATTCACCCGCCTCTGTGAGAGCGCATACTAATAAATGCTGGCTGAAGAGTGTTTCCTGCAAAAAAAATCGAGTAAATGAAACCGTTACAAAAAACTAACTAGGTTTTTAATTGAATCACACAATTAAACAATTATAAACATTTAATTAAAATAAACTAAGACTAAACGATTGATTAACTTAACATGATTAACCCAATTACTAACTGGTAAGAAACCGATTTAAGGAAATAGTATAAAAAATGCGTCCATAATTATTTAAATACTGTATGTAAAATGTTGTCGATACTCAAGCACATTTGATAACATTAATTCACTATACACTATTCACTAGACAAGTGCGTGTTGACTTATTTAACAGTTACTAAATTAAAACAAATAAACAACTTTAATTAAGAACGGCGTATCATATACAAGCTATTTCTTCTATACAACCTTAATTTAATAATTTGAAATACCTGTGTTTTGAATCACTACTATTGTGTAATAAAAATAATAATTAAGTGGCGCTACTACCCAACATGGGTCTTGGCCTGACATCTATTTCTCACTCGCATTAGCTATTGCACGCCTCATTGGCGGAGCGGAGGCAGTGCTCTACTCTCGACATGTCAAAAAACCCAGTCTTTCGAAACTTGAATGACTTTTTTCTCACTAATATAACACTTACAGGATAATATGAGTGCACTAAAATCGACTTAAATAATCAAGCACATATGGTATGTTTTACAAACAATTATTTTGTTTGACATAGTAAATAATAACATTAAAATCCATCATTCTTGGACGTCCGTCAGTCTGTGTTTACGGGATCCATTTATGTGGCAGAGAAATTGGTCGAAAAATTTATCGTACCAGAATACTTTTTTTCTTATTATATAAAGTTATACCCTGGGCTGATTCCTAGTTAATATTAGCTTTCTAAGTACTGTCGTTTAATTATAATTTGTAAAAAACTAAAATACGACTGTGTATTTGTATATATCTATATATACATTTATTTTAGTATATTTTTTTTACTCACCTTAGAGTTATGGCGCCACTATATATTTTTTTATTATATTATTGTTTTTTTTCAATCATTCATTTTCATTTTTTTTTTTTTTTTTTTTTTTTTTGTTTTAAAAAACTTGAGTTTTTGTTTTAGATTTTTTTTTAAATGTGAATGACCGCTATGAGGCGTGCACTTTTGGATTTTCCAAACTTTCTGTCTATTAGTATCATGTGTCGTAAATTTTCGTGTTACAGACCTTCTAATATTATTGTATGTATGTTTCGTGACTCGTATTTTATGCATGTTTTTATAGAACATATAATTTTAATATATGCCGTAATGTTTGCATATGGCAGAACTTACAAATTCCCGTATTTATTTAATTGTTGGATTTTGTTGCTGCCTTGCAATACGAAAAACACCGGAATTCAATTTCATAACAAAATTACTATTAAAAAATAAACAACGAACTAAATAGATTCCAGAACCAAAAAATTATATACATCATTTTCAAAATATATACTAACCTGATTACAATCCTTTGCGTTTTCCGGATTAAAATCAATGCTACTCATTTGTTTGGCGACGATTTGAATGATCTCTTTACACGCGGAGGCTTGAGCTTTTTCTCCCAACATTTTTCCGAGTGTGTTTCTTAGTATGTAGTTTATGCATTTCCTGAAAGAATTAAGTTATTCTTTAGTGAGCGTGTGACCCTCATCCCTGAGGTCGTGCGTTCGAATCACGACACTATTTTTCCCATAGAAGCATTTAATATTCACACGTATAGTGAAGGAATGTAATGCTTTACACCTAAAAATGATTGCGTGTGTCAGACACTGAAGGCTGATCACCTATTTGTCTGTTTAAAACAAAAAAATCACGAAAAGTCAATTTTACTTTTTTCAGAACTGTATTAATATCCTTGATTTCCATCATCCCTACAAAGCTTCCATATTAAGCTCTTTGTTGGCAAAGTTCTATATAACTCTAAATACTTCTATATTTAACCGCTTATTTGTACAAAGCATGTGACCAGGAACTTCCAGATTCCATACCCAGTAAAAAAAAACAGAAATATGTCTGCCACACCCCAAAGGTTCTTTAAACTTCCAACAATGTTAATATATAACTAACCTGGAATACACAGCATCAACATGGGAACTAGCAGCTTTGGGGTTGGCCACCAAATCGAGTACATGAGCTAAGAACGTACTCATGTTACGTTCGAGCCAAACACCTCCCATATTTTGTACGAATATCACATATGCCTAGAAACAAAAAAAAAATGAAAAATATCTACAAGTAAACGTCAAATAAATACTGTCGACTAAGATACGGACAGATAGGACAAGTGTTTTATGTTAAATACATACACTCAAACTCAAATTAACTTTATTAATATAGTCAAACATGTACACTTATGAACGTCAGAAAAGAAGTTAAATTAATTCTAAACTTACATTTATTACAAGTTCACAAGTCAAGGGCGTAGAGCGGGCAAGAAATGCCAATAAACTTTCCGCCACTCTTTTTAATCGCTAAGTTTTGAGTCATACAGATTGTTTAGACTGGAGCAAATCTATCTCAAGGATATTTATAAAAATCTTTATTGATTAATTTACTAAAACGAGAGCTTTGAATTTATTTAGTTACGTATGAAGCAATAATATTCAAGATATCGGCACTTAAATGTTTAATAATATTAAAACAATAAAAGTAATATTTTAAATTAATAAAGTAAATTTAAGAAAATCATAGTCACAAAAAAGTTAGGTATCTTTAAGTGAGGTTTATTACCGTTTTCTGAATATATTTTCTTCCTGCCACAAAAACTATCACAAAGTATTTTTTTTAATAACGTTAAAATACTTACATGAGTGACACAAACACGAACTTCTCTATTAACACCTGAACCAGATTTTATAATTTCCCCTTTGAGGAATGAAGTACCTCCCCTTAAAAAAGCACCCATCAGTAAATTCAACGCTTCTTCTAGCGATATTATATTTTTGGGCAAATCCTTTTTGTTTTGTACTAAAATCGCAATAGTTTTATGTATATTTACGATTTAGAAGTAATACAAAAAAAATAAGATATATATATTAACCTAATTGCATTCCCACTTTGTTCTTAGTATTAAGATTTGTTGCTTCCCCAGCTTGAGTCGTTGCTACCAAAGCTCCCATCAATTCTGCTACTGCACATCTGAAATTATTATTTTAAATATAATTCGTATGTCACCGTAATATTGCAAACACCGTTAGATTGTAATCTATCTCGCGAGATTGTGAACTGTCAAAAGATTGTGAACCTCAACGTACTGCTTACAATTTAAATTTAAATTGATGTCGTGTTGAAAGTAACTCACAGCTTTAAGAATTCGTTATATGAAATTGTTGGCAAGTAAAATTCATCTGTGATTTACCAAAGAAGTGCAGTTTGAATGATAACTAAGTTAGTGTTGGAAATGAAATAAAAGAAAATTTCATTACTTTTTCAATTTTAATTTATGCTTGAGGAGAAAATATTGTTAAGTTTCTGATTTTTTATTTTGATACAATTTTTTTTACCTACCTTTTAATTGACCAGAATTATTGACTACCTACTAAGTAATGAAGAAATACTTGATGTCACAATTCTTGAAGTGCATTCAGTTTATTTGACTGATACCCGTGTTTCATTCTTAACTCTATGGGCATAGAATGGTCTACTATAAAACCCACCAATCAGGAACAGCCTTCGGACAATTATCAATTTGACAATTTTAAGATTGTAATTTGACGGTTTCACTTCGACAGATTACAATCTACCGAATAATAATACGTTAAATTGTAAGCAGTACGCTGAGGTTGACAATCTTTCGACAGTTCAGATTACAATCTAACGGTGATTATAATTTTACGGTGACATATTATGCACACACAATAATTGCTTCAATAACAATCATTTTCATTATTTTTTATGTACCTAAGCTGGTAATCGCTAGGATGAGCAGCCCGCAAGCAAGCAGCAGCGATAGCATCAACATCAGCGGGTGTCAACTTCTGTAGCGGTAACATACTCTTTAAAGCATTCGCGGCAGCTGCGCGAACTGGCGTAGACCGCTCGTTTAGTAGCGAAGCACGCGCAGCCCTTGATACTTCCCGTAGTACATTACCTGCTGCAGTTCCCATTCCCACACAAATCTAAAAGTTGTTATTATTATTATTCAATTAAACAAAAATCTACATAACACTAACAATAGAAAAAACTAAAATGTTGGCTAAAGCTAACTTCAGGGTGTCCGTTTTTAGTGAAGGTGTGCGCGCGCATCGTAAAAATTTACTCTCATCATTTTTCCCTAACACGCCAAAAGAAGTATAACTTTAAAAAGGTTGAATATTTGACTAAATCGTTTCTCTTTGAATTATTATTAAAATTATAACCTTTCGAGACATTCAATGACTAAAATAATTGTATTTTACATTTTCTATTTATTTAAATAATAATTATGATTATTATTTGACAAAAAGTTATAATATTTGTAGTTAAATCTAATGTGTAGCTAATACCATGTGTCGGAAAAGGCATTTATTAAATATAATTGTGAAATAGGTATGCCTGTTATTTGTATGAAGAGCCCGTGGGGGTTAAATAAAAAGCTTAGAATTTTCACGCCATACATAAGACTTTTACGATAAACATGATTTGAACTATCTTTAAATACTAAGGCATAATGACATATTATCATTATAATAATATTCAGTGCAGTCACAATTATAACAACAATATGAAACCTACCTTCTCCAAGGTAATCATAATTTCGAGTCTAGTTTGAGATTCAGCACTTTTCAGTGACTTCACAAGGGTGGATACAGTCTCCTCATATGATCTTCCCATCATTCGGCCAAGCTTCTCATACATACTGCCTAAACAGCAAATTGCAGCTCTACGCAGAATATTAAAGTTAATACACCCATTTTTACAGTCCATTGCTACTACCCAAAATGCACCAAGAGCCTATTAATCAATGATTCAGCCATTGAAATATTGTGTTTAAAGGGGCCTATACACAGGCCATTTATTCACGAAAATGTATAGTTGCAAGAGGGTGGCTGGTAGCATTACCCAGCATTTACGTCTAGATTATGCAATACTCGGCGATATTCTTAGTATGGCCGGGATATATTGCCAAATATTTTAAAGGGTTATTGACTAAAAACTATATTTTTACTTGATATCTTTGTTATAGAAGTAAATAATGTAGAATACAATTATTACATTATCTTAATATTTAATACTTACAGCCTAGTTGGTAAATAAGAAGGGGAATCATCCTTGACTTTGATAATATCATTACATTTATTGACAGTGTCAAATAGCAGAAATGTATCACCAACAGAGAATAATGTAGCCAGACATCTTGATAAAACTCTTCGGGCTGGTGCACCAAGATTCTCTCGGAATAAGTTAAGTAACTGTGCTACCAGTTTCTGCTGACAGTTTTTTATATCAGACTGAAATGTGTTAATAAAGAAACAAATTTTTACTTTAATTAATTAATAAATTTTCACATTACTTATTGCTGCATCTAATCTTACTCTATGTTTTACAGGTAATGGTGCATGGTTAAAAATTAAAAACCAAAAGGAAAAAAATCTGCTTATCACAAAAATATTCTTCAAAAGTTACAAATGGTACCTCAACATACGAGTTTAATTTGTTCCGTAACCTTGCTTGTTTATCAACAAATTGCTCGTACCTCAAAACAATTTTCCCTCTTAAAATTAATTTAATAGTCATTAATCTGTTCCAGCTCCCAAAACACCAACCTCAGTTGCTTTTGAATAAGAAAATTGTAAGGTTGAGCAAGGTGCTCTTGTTTTTCTATGATTTAACCCTTTAATTCAATAGACATCATCTTCTTAGGATCCATCGTTATAAATGATAATGTTTTGTAAATGTATAAAAAGCAAATAAAGCAAACCCAACTTATCAAAAATTTTGGACACAACCACACAGACTGAGGTCTAGTCCGAGGTGGGAGAAACTGTTAGATGCTGCTCACAACACCAAATGTAGAAAATGTAGTATGCAATTCCTCTTATCTGAAATCTTGCTCTCACCTCAAAGCAAAATATTACTAGCTCGGCTGCTCATATCTCAAAACTCTTGTATGTTAAGACACTAGTATATTGAGGTACCACTGTACTTTAAAGTATGCAATTCCTTACCTTATGTGCTGCAACTAAAACTTTATCCAAAAACCTTAACCATTCAAATATAAAGTGTGGCTTTTTATCATCAGGAAGCTGCTGCAAGGCTGATTCATTGAGTGTTAAGGAATGGGACACTTCCATAATTCTGCAATTCAAATAATATTTATCAGCCTTAAAATATTATCTACATCCATTCATGTTTTCTCATCTGGCATACCCTTCGACCTTCGCAACTCTCCGGCTGTACTCAATTAAGGCCGTATCCCGCACATAACATAATCAAATTAGTTGCAGGATGCATTCATAATCATAAATATATAAATGGCGTCACAGATGAATATGCTATAGTTAATTGGATGACAAACACATTATATTATAATAGAATTTTAAATAAACTTACGTATTTGCAATAAACCTTTTTAAGTAAAGAATAAATCACATAGCTCGATAATAATTTCTACACATGAAGGCTAGTTTTGGTATTCAAACTTGGATGTTCTTCGATTCAAAATTTATCAATACTATATTTATTAAAAAAATAATTAGTTAATTTCTTTCTTAATTCGCTAAACATTACATGAATTCCATCTAAAAACACAATTGTGCAAAAAATCTTGGTTGAACTAGAGAGTCTAAGAGTAAAAAACTTCCCACTTCCCAGTTTCCAGTTTCCACTAGACAGTAGACAGTAGACCAGTGCTTCCAGATCATAAAAGTAAAATTACAGTGTTGTCAGCTAAAAAATATAGTAGTTTCTTAAAACAATACAGCAGATTCCAAATTCGATTACAGTAAAATTACAGTAAAAGTTTGTTTAAATATTAAAAGAAAAATAAGACAGATTAATTTATTTGTACATATAAGTAAGTTATCTAAAATAATTTCCTCATGATTTTGATAAATTTTTGCATTCATCTTTAAAATAATTTCATTAGTGGGATTAAATTTGACGAGTTTTCAGAATTTCGACGAATGGCTTGCTGAGCTAACATATTCCTTTAAAGTATGTATCGACAGTTCCTCTGCTTGTTTTTATATTATTAATTTCACTAAACTTGCGTTCGCACTAGCGTTTGAGTGAGGCAAAGATAAACTTGCAGCATAATCGAGGCAGCAAATGGAATTTAATGTCTCCATTGCTATCTTTCATTTGAGATAACTGAAATAAAAAACAAATTTATGAAATGTGAACATAAATATGTGCAAATTTATGTAAATAGAGTTCTTATATAATTAAATTTTACCTGATGCCAAAATAAGTCTTGGTTGACTTGTATTCCAATGTATACATTCGCAATAAAAATCAAGTTTCTCCATTCGTCATCTAACGTCTGTTGATCATTTAAGTTGGGGTATAGCCTTGGTAACACTGGGTAAGTGAAGACAAAGACTGTTCTCTATTATCTGATAAGAAGAATCAGGATTCAACTTTGCGATTGAGCTCAAAACTGGGTCATTTAAACTGTTTTTTCCGAATGCCCACGCATGCTTTAACGAAAGTTGAGGCATTCTGTTTCATCACTGTAACTTTTCGGTAGCGATGTAGCTCTAGGACAGCAACTTGATTAGCAACACCCAATCCTAGGTATATATCTTCCAGATTTATGTAATGTTGACAATTAGTAGGGTCAATTGGTCGAGTGGGGTTTTTTAATAAATTTGGAGTTAGAAAACAAACATCTTGTTAGTCATATTTTTAGGGCTTCAATAATAACGGATCTTCACTTTGAAAGAATACGTTAACGCGGGTAAATTTTGGCAGCATCCAACATAAAAAATAAAAATATGCCTTGATGATGGGATCATCAAAAGATTGGAATGCTTGGCAATCCTGTTCTTCTAGCCATTTATCGTCATAATAAATCGCAAGGCATCCCATTGTCCATGATTTGTTCACAACACTGACAGCGACAACCAACGCGTTTGAGCTGACGTAGAATTTTGTGAATATTAGTTCCGTAAATACTTGAAATTCTTTTAGCTCTGTTGATTTGTTACTATTTTTGAAATAATTGTAAATCAATCGAGTATTTTTCTGCATCAGAGGCAATTCTTTACAAGCGTTGAGGCACATAAATGTAAGGAATGGCATAGACATTTTAGCACGATAATACCTGGGCACAATTGTCTAAACCGGAGGACACTGAATTACGACAGCCCATCATAGTATTACAGCCATCTGACCAAATCCGATCATATTTTCTAAAGGTAATTTCCGTTTGAAAATTTTTTTATTGAATTAAATAATTTTTCAGCCGTAGTAGTAATACCAATCCGTCCAGCATTAGTATCATTAAACATTTGAATAAGATCCCAGAATCGACTTACTATTCGCCCTGAACTAAGATCATAATTTTGACTAAATACACATTGTTTTCACACTGGAAATCGGTACTTTCATCTACCATTATAGAAAACTTTTCGTTTCAAATCTGCTACTGAACATTCTCTTTAGAAGCTCCGATGACTTGTTTACTACCTTGATTAGTATGCTTAAGATTAATTTACTTGCAATTAGAATCTGGGAAAATTTTTGGAAGTAAATCAACAAGATGGTCCATCACTATGTGGATATTTTATGTTCTGCCATAAGGCCGATAATTTAATTTCCGCAATTTTTCTGTATATCTTACACGTTGACTCTTAAAAATATTATCAATGTATGCACATACGATTGCCAGGAAAACGAAGTTTATGTTTAGCACCTTCACCGTTTTTTAATAGCACCTAGTCGGCAGTTAAAGAATGAACAGTGCAAAAACATTTATAAGCATTTTGTCAGGTTTTAGCCACTTATGAAAGTTTGGATTAAGCCATTCCTCTCGAAATTGGCCGTATTTCTTTTTGCACTTGACGGACCAGCAGCGCCACGAACATCACCTTCTTCACTACTTGAGCCCATTTTTACAATTATATATTTTGGTTTAATTTACTATCACAAGAATTAAAAAGTCTTAATCTGAAATAAATGTGCTCGGCGCTCGCTACAGTAGCAAAGCAATAAAACCATACCAATCAAAACGTAATGAATGAGATGGAAAATACAATGTTGCTATGTCAGACAGAGACGGTTAGTGTTTGTAAGGTTAGTTCTGATTCATTGGGGATTCCCCACGTAAACTATAAATGTAGGTAACAATCCTACTCTACATTGTCTATAGATGAAGGTCAGTGGTTCTGGGTTCTAGATTAGGTTGCAAATTTATATTTCGTATTTTCTAATACGTAAAACGTATTAAATTTGATAATTTATATGAACGGAAATTAAATACAGTATTTTCATACACTGTATTTTATCATTACAGTATACAGTAGAAAAGTCTAAAATACAGTAAATCTACTGTAATTACAGTGAATCTGGAAGCCTGGTAGGCACTAATAAATAAGTAATAACTTTTTTTTCTTTTTTTTAGAGTTTATGGCCTGGTATCTAGACCTTTAGGCCAAGAATAAGTGTGCGTTTTCCAATTACAGCACTAGAGCGCATTTTGCAGCATAATGCTCAACGTTGAGTGTTTCAACTACAGCTACAATTGAGCACTCTCAAAACGAATGCTCTCGCAAACAATACCAACACAGTGACAGAAATTGACCAGTACTTTTTTTAAGTTGGCATTATCGAAATTCGTAGTAAATATTATTTAGGGGGCCTCATAGCCTAGCGGCTTTAAGTGGCAGCTAGATGAGGGGACCGGGTTGTCCGGTTGAGGGCAAGTTTTAATTTAATCTCGCCTTTGGAGGGGTGCGGACCGGGGAGGACCGTATAGAGGACACTGTCGAATTTCTAAAAGACAAGCACGAATTAAAAAATCCTATATTGACGCTGTAAGAAATGTGCCAGAGCCATAAAAAAAAAAAAAATAAAATATTTATGTTGAAAAATTTGTAAGGCTTTCGTTTCGTCGTAGATTTTGAAAATAATTAAATATTTCAACTGCAAATAAATTTGATGATAAGGTAAAATAGTTATTTTTTATATTCCACATTTAAAAATATGAATACAATTTTATTTTAAAATTCGCTGTAAACAAATTTACTTTACAGGATTATACTTTAGAAAAATTGCAAAGGTTTTGAAAAAGTATATAATTTTTTAGAAATCATTAAAAAATATTACTCAAAACGTAAATGATGTAAACTTCTTACATGAAACTTAATAACTGTTAATTTAGTTGTTAAAACCTTATATTCTTTAAAGTTTTCTTTATTCAGTAAAAAAAATTTAATGAAATAATTTGATATTTAATTAAGCGTAAAAAGTTTTCAACCAACTATTATTGTTTACCACATTATTTAACATTTGAGGTTGAACTCTATTCAGACCATTTTTTTGTCAACACTGACTTAGCACCTGCTGATGATTGAAAACTATACGTTCCAATTGCTTCAGCATTATGCGGCATTGTGCGGCACTGAGTCGCAAAATGCTCTGTAATTGGAAAACGCAGTAATAACAGCTAATAGATCATAAATACAGACCACAGTAAAATAACTTCACTTCACTTCACTTTATTTATAATGGCGACATCTGTGTAAATCACAATTCCGCCAATGTCCAGTAAAATAACAAATAACTTAAATTTTCCAAATTGACACTAGACAGTGATAACTACCACAGATTAGGAAAAACGCTTAATAACAAAATATTATTAGTGAAAAATATGTAAATGCCAAATCGTGATTAGCAAATGGCATTCTGTAATCTGTTCTAAATTCTAACTTTTAGTGTGTGGACTGTGTGGTTACTAATTGACGAATTGTATAAGAGAAAAATTGTTCATTTGTGTACTTTTATCTTAAATCTAAATATAACCTTTACTACTACATTCTAAAATAGACGAATATTTTTATATTCTATAGTGATAGTCATAAGTAATTCATAGTCGTTCTTCGTCGTTACTTGAAGCTAACGTTATATTATTCTCTATATTACCAATTAACCGCAAACACACAAAGCAGTAATTGTTATAGTACAAGCTTTATGTCAACGAAGTTAAAATTGATTTTATTGTGATGCATACTACTATGAGCTCGCAGCAAAGTCCAGCCAACATGCAAAATGTTGTGGACAGAGAAAAGATTTATTCCTGGATATTAGAACTTTGCAATCCCGAAACTCGGGAAAATGCACTCTTGGAACTTAGTAAAAAGAGGGAAGTTGTACCAGATTTGGCACCTATGCTATGGCATAGTTTTGGCACCATAGCAGCTCTGTTACAAGAAATAACGAACATTTATGTGGCTATGATTCCTGCAACTCTGACAGCACATCAAAGCAATCGAGTTTGTAATGCATTAGCTTTAATGCAATGTGTTGCATCTCATCCAGAGACAAGGTCAGCTTTTTTACAAGCTCATGTTCCTCTCTTTCTCTATCCTTTTCTGCATACAGTTTCCAAAACTCGCCCTTTTGAATATCTCCGCCTTACCAGTCTTGGAGTAATAGGAGCATTAGTCAAAACAGATGAACAAGAAGTTATAACATTCCTATTAACAACTGAAATTATTCCTTTGTGCTTACGTATTATGGAAAATGGATCAGAATTATCAAAGACAGTAGCTACATTCATCCTACAAAAGATTCTATTAGATGATAGTGGCCTGTGTTACATATGCCAAACATATGATAGATTTTCCCATGTAGCTATGATATTAGGAAAAATGGTATTATCTCTAGCTAAAGATCCATCTGCAAGGCTTCTAAAACATGTTGTCAGATGTTACTTACGCTTGTCAGATAATCCTAGAGCTAGGGAAGCTTTGAGACAATGTCTTCCAGATCAATTGCGTGATGCAACATTTACCGCTTGTTTACAAGAAGATAATTCTACTAAGCATTGGCTTGCACAATTAATCAAGAATTTAGAAGCTCAACCAGCACCGGCAAGTCCTGCTCAAGCAAACATGTGAGAATTATCTTTATTCAATTATACCCTCTACAAAACATTTCAAATATAGTGGTAACTATCTTGTAATATAATTTTTGTGGTATTACTAAATTCTATTAAAGTAGTAGGAATACTATTGTTATGATTGTTACATTTTTAAACCTATTAATTTATATTTAATTAGCTATTCTTATAATTTTAACTATAAAGAAAATCAATCATTGAAATGTATTATTCTATTTAATATTAGGAGTATGCTCTTGTAAATTTAGGCCTTGTGAAATACAGAATTATTTTCTGTTTAGGTAGATAGAAAAATTATACAACTAAAATGTACAAATGTGCAAGATATATAATAAATCAGTTTACTATTTTTAGGTACAGACCAACATGAAAACAGTAGCATAATATGCAGTTGTAAAATGGACCGTAAATTTTACAAAAATAAATTTTATAGTTTTGTATTCTTGTTTTATTTCAATATAAAAAGATCATTTATTACTAAAAATCTGGCCCTCTTATTGGAAAGTCTGATAATGCCCATCTATTACCTCCAAAATGATTTGCATTTTCTGTTCTATTAGGGCAAGCTGAAAATTTTGTGCATAATTGGTTTATTAAATCTCTTGCCGCTTCCAATAATAAATGAATCTTGATATGGAATATTAAAATTAATATTATTTTTAGACTTTGATTTCTTCAGTGTTGGTTTTAGTATATTTTGTTTGTCAAAAACTTGTATTCCACAATGTACAGCATCAATGTGATGAGAACATGCTTTATCTGTGTGTGAAAAACTTTTTGAACTAAGTGTTTGGATAATTTTGTTGTTGCCTTTACCATTTACCTTTTTTTGTGAACATTTACAAGGATTTTGATCTCTGCTTCGTACCATAGTTACACAGTAATTGTCACATCTTAGTGGACCAGAGATTAAGGTATTTATACCGAAATCAATGAAATGCTTCTTCAATATAGTTTCTCGAGCTTTAAGAGTATTAATACCAGATTTGGTATTTCCTATAGGCACAATTTTGCTTACAGCACGCTTTTTTTCAATATAGACTGAATGTGTAGGCTTTGCTTCATTTTTGCTATTGGTACATTTGATGGACTTTCTAGACATGTTAGACTTGACATTATTAGCAGATGCTTTTAATATTGGTTCAACAATTTCATGACAAAGTTGTTGTGCTACTGTTGGTCTGGGCATTAGGAGGCAGTAATAAGGTATATTCGTAGCTTGTAAACTTTCAAGACATTGCTGAATTATAGCATTATCTAGTGCAGCCTTGCATAAATACTATGCATTAGATTCCAAGAAAAATAATTGTATAACCCTGCATTTTCTTTTTGATGTCGTGCTTTATTGCGTATGTAATATTAAACTGTATTTTTACTTGACGACCCGTCTAAAAAAATGTTTCATTTAACCACCATTTTGAATACTAATTGGTAATTACTAACCATTTTGAGTGATGCCAACTCCTACAGCATGTTCCCCCTAGAACCAACTTCAAATACCCCTAATTTCGATTAAAAACCCATAATTTTTTTTTTGTTAAATAGGTTTGAGAGGTAAATTCAAATATCAAAAATAAAAGTAGTATAAAACAGCTGTTATTTCTATCTAGGATTATAGGTTTTTGATATTTCAGTTATAGCCGCGTTTGGAAATTACATTTTGTTTAGTTTGTTGATTGGGTTCTAGGCTTAATACTAAATAGTATGGAGACTATAATAAGAAAAAAAAAGAGCGTGTGTACTTATGTACACGCGTTAGAAGTTATACTTCTTTGGCGTATGGAAAAAAAATAACTAAAATGCAGTAGTGATTACATATGATATGATAAATATTAAAATTAATCAATAAAATTATTATTAGTAAATACTATCACCGTCGTATACGAAATTGATTTAATAAAAACACCAAAATAATATTTATTTATTCACACTGTTTAATTGTACTGTTACGAAACACGTGTTCTAAATATAAAAATACTAGAATATACAACTTGAACATAGTTATTATCGATTTTCATGCCACCTAGAACTAACTTCATTCTGTTAATTTAGTGTCACGGCACGCGCGCATCGTAAAATTTCACTCTCATCAATTTTTCATTACGCGCCTAAAGTATAACTTTAAAAATTGTTCTTAAAGCACCCCCTTAATAAATGTACCAAACCCCCAGGACATCTGGGTAACCACTACATTTGGAGGAAAACCCCCAAGATGGTATCACTGATAAAATGGGCTAATATAATTCTAGCAGGCAGTAGAATGAAAAAGAAATAAGAATTAAAATTTAAAGGACAGAGCGGAATCAGGAATGCCCACAGACTAATAAATATAATATAAGTAGCTGGTATCTTCTATATAATGTACGCTATGGTAGGTCGCTAAAAGCTGAAAAAAAAGGGATACTATCAACAAGATTTTAAAAACTATTTCAGATTATTTATATGTGACTATAAAACCAATACAAAAAGTATTTCTTAATTCTGTTTAATTTTTAAATTCATATAGTGAATTCGGCTTTAATAATTCAAATTAAACTTTCATGAAAGTCAAGTTTTTGGTGTTCATTATTATTCTACAGACACATATATGACCAAAAACATTCTCCAACGAAATTGAACTCCATGAAACTTGACAGTAATACTAGAATTACTATAGTGTTATCTGTTTTGTGTCACGTGACTGACATCCGTCCGTTTAAATAAATTACCAATGATTTACCCAATATTTTACCCCTTAATTATTTTTAACCCATTTTTTACACAGCTTACCTTAAATAACACTTTTTTTCATATTGTCCAATAGCTATTTAACAATTAACACTCTGGACTCTGGAGTAATGAATGTGGTTGTCCTAAAATGTCAAAACCAAAACGCCTTAGATCCCATGACCCATCTAGCTTTTTAGCTCTAAAGACTTATTGTGTGTGAATGAGATACCATAATAAAGTGATTAATTCACATAAAATGTCCTTTTCGATTAGTGGTGGCTTAAACTGATAGAGTTCGTAGTTTGTTGCTTTTAGGCCCTGTCGGTCGTAATTTCTATACATTTGTATAAATCATTTAAGTGACAATATTAATTGGTCAAATCATAATTTGTTTTCACTAAATAACTCTTCTTGGGTGAGGACAGCTATACTCAAGAGCCCTTTCGGGCTCTAGCTAATGCCTATAATAGATGTTCTAGCGCGGCCAGTGGCGCCACCTTGGTTTAACAATTACTATTTAAATTAAAGCAATTTACTATTTAGTCTGTGACCAGAACTTTAAGTGTAGACAGTGTGAATGTTAGCCCGTTGCTGTTTGGACTTGATTATTTGCTTAATTATTACGTGTTGTGATTTTATGACTACTGCAATGTTATAAATTCTAAAATAAATAATGATAATATAAATAAATAAAAAACATCGTCGACGTCTCTCTACAATTCCACAGTCCACTTTCTCTTTGGTCTTTAAAAGGAAAATTTTCAAGAAGTTGTGCACGATTAAAATTTAAAAATGGAATATTTTGATAATACATCTGAGAGAGACAGTCAGAATTTTTTACCAGCCGAGTTTAGAGAAAAAAATGAAGGTTTTGTGAACGATAGACCAAAATTTAAAGAACCATTCTGGATTTTCGGATATGGTTCTCTCTGCTGGAATCCTGGCTTTGAATATCAGCAATCAGTAACTGGATATGTTAAAGGATTTTCGAGAAGATTTTGGCAAGGAAATACTACACACCGTGGTACAGATTCAAAGGTAAATGGTTTAATCAGAACAATTAACTGTAAAATACTGGCATAACACTTAGCTCTTATTTATTTTTGTATAATATATGTATTATAAAAGTTCTTCTGTCTCAATATTTGAAACATATTAAGTTTTTTTACACAACTGTTAAAATATAATCTTATTTTCTATCTACTGTTTTCTATAATAAGTCTGACTTTGGCTGATGCAACAATAATGTGAGCTTTCACGTTCATGTGTAATATAATATTTATGTTTTCACATAACTCAATCCTACTTACAAAGCGTAATATATATATATGAGTATGAGTTTAGTTTAGTATATATATATAGTGAAACATGACACATCATGATTGTATATATCTAATATATTATAACCCCCATTTATATTACAATGTTTGTTAAGAATATTCAAAGTAAACATTTCTATTTCATGTGTATAACACATAAGGTATACTTAATGATGTTACAAGTTATTTGAACTATGGTGAACTAGTTTTCTCCTATCTATCATTATATTGTTATCTATAAAACCTAATAATCCTTTAATAGACAATACAAATTTAAATAAAAAACCAATGATGTTGAACTAAACTTTAAAAAAGATAAAATGCCTATTAGTCTATAATGTTCCTTAATGTAATTTATTTCGAGTCTAAAGGGGTATTATCAAGTACCTGGCTATAATCCATGCTAATGCAGTGCAGTGTTTTTTTAGGATGAAACCACCATTTGCCTTTACGAAACAAGAAAATTAAGGCAAAAATGTGTCTGACCCATGGGTCAACCATAGCATGCCAATGGTGCCAATGGTGGATACAACACATACTTTACTTGTTCTATGCATATGCAAATCTGTAATATTCCTTCATTTCATAGAATTTATTTAAATCTGAATAATATATAACATATTAAAAAAAAATATTACATATATCTGAAATAATGAGTTGCTGATATGGGCACTGTTTACAGTGTTGAAGAACAACTGTAATGCAATTTTATGAATAATATGCTATATTTTATTTTCTCTGACTTCAAAAACCAAAAGAGGAAGAGCAGATATGCAATGGGTTTACAATTCAATACAAGCATATATTAATAGGCAAGATAGTAATTTTTTGCCTTGTTTAAAAGAATAATAATACATTTTATATAACTCTTGAAAGTTATATAACTCATGTAGTTTGATAACCATGAATTTATTTTGATACTTGAGTGCCACGCGATGTCAGTTTTATAGTTTGTTGACTTTAGAATGTAATCAAAGTTTTATTTTATGTAATCTAATAAATAAATTCTTTATACTTTCAGCCTGGACGAGTTGCAACGTTAGTTGAAGATAGAGAGGTATGTACTTTGCTTATGTCACAAAAGTTATTAATTTTGTATCATATAGCTTTTATTTAATAAAGAAAACTAGACGGACAAAAGTTGTATTAATCATATCCGACTGTCGTCCTCAAGTTATTGTATCGTAGTTTTTCTATCCGTTATGTCTTATTCAAGTTTAAAGATGATATATTTTAATTTGAACCTATTAAAAAAAATTGGCTGTATCTTCTAATATCTTATTTCTTTTCAAATCATGTGTAGTTATTGTGACCTCATACATTCATTACGAACTTTACATCTTCTTTACATTTCAACAATCTTTTGGTTATCCAATTATTTCCAAACTTCAATCGGTACCGAATCATTAGGCCACAATTCACAGTTTCCTAATAAAACGAAAATTGCCAATTGATCTAAATTTTTTATCGAGTGACCATTAAGTTTCGTATATAATTAGCTTTACGCGCAATTACGTCGCATTTCCTACTTTTTTCAACGAACTCATTTTGAGGAAAGATCTTGTGAACGAGGTCACGTTGGTCGCTTCAATAAAACTGGCTGAATACGTTCATTAAATACAACTTAAAATTAAAGGGGTTGTTAAAGGCACACGTAAAACATCGCGTTTATTTCTACGGCTTAGATTGTGTTAGGCTTATAAAAAGGGCTTTCCCGTCGATACTTAAGGCATATTGGTTCAATTATAATAATTGTATTTGAACTCGCAATGTATTTAATCGGTTTAGGTATAGACTTGGGTAAATATGCTGATAATGATAATGGTATAAGTGTGGATAATGTCGAAATCGCTATGTAGTGTTTACACATTAGTCCAATTATTGTTATCAGACCGAGCACGTGCCTATATTTGTTTACTATAATCACTTAAAATGTCTATTATAATTAAACTTACTATACATGAAGCTAATTTGGATGGCTAACTTTTTGTGCAATACCTAAAATACAGCTATCTAATTGGCGAAAATTCCGCATTTTACTTTTATCACTTATACCTAATGCTAATGCATTTATTAACTTTGCTATTGTAAAGCTTGAAACAGATATATAAAACTTTTAAAAACACGAACCCTTATTACTTGTTTAGGACTTACATACTCGTTCGGTGATGTATGTCAAGCTGTCTTTAAATAGGTACGATTTTGTTATATAATATATATATATATAACATAATACAAGCATTTATTGATCACTCCTGATATTTCCATGATTCGAATTCTGAACTATACTATAAAAAGGATAATTCAGGAAAAAATAATTTATTATAAAAATGAATTTAGTTACGTATCGCCATTGTAAATTAAATCGAAGACTTCCGTCGATTTGCGAATTGACAAGTGTCTGAGTCGACAATCCACGTAATTGTAACTTTACACAAGCACTTAGATATTATTTATGTCATATTTCAAAGAAGGATATAAAAAATATATTTTTGAAGTGAATAATGAATATCTATTGAAAATTACTTTTTAACACGTCATGACCAAGAATGTAATTTATAAAATATACGAACCCAGTCGTGGGGTCGATCTTTACACAGTCTGGTTAAATAATACATGACAAGACTGATCACTAATTTGCCGTACAGTATGGGCAGTATGTATCAGTGAACACAATTTCTTTATTAGGATTAAAACAAATGCAAAAAAATAAATGTGGTCACTTTTGTGTAGGTACCAACCCATATAGTATATTGACATCCGTTAAAACAAAGGATATGTAGTTAATAATAATCCATTATTACTATACAACAAGTGTATATTGAGTCAGATGTATCGTATTGAACAAGACATATTATAATCGTTCTTTGACTCATGCGCAATGTCATGATAAAATCATTGACCTAGTTTCAAAACTCTAAAGCGTCGTACACTAATTTATAATTTTATTTGTGTATTGTGTGGTATTCCCAAAACCTAGAAAGTCAATGTTTTATAAAAAAATAGTTTATTTGTTTAGCCGATTAGCGAGTTGTAAGTCGTTATCGCTTTAAAAAGTATGTACAAAGAATGTTGGTCAAATGGAAAATCGATTAAGAAGCATGAAATTAAATAGTTTAAACCTCTCTATTTATCCTCAACCAAGTAATCCGTAACAAGATTATTTTTAAAGCTACGCGTGTAGAATCACACACATTTTTATCGTACACGGTGAACACTTCGAAAAGACCTTTGCATAACGTTATATTTTTATGTAACAACGGTAAGGCGATAGAAATTGTAATAACAAGATTATAGAGAACCTACTTAACAGCCCTTATATCATCATGTCAGTGATAATATACACTCACGTTACGCGTGTTATTTGGGTGTTACAAATAGTAAGGTTATTATAGATTAAATTCAAGTGCAATTTAAAAAAAATAGAACTATTTGTGTCAAAACTTCATACAATATTTTTAAAACAAACCAAAGAGATCGTACCTCATGCAACTGGTATGAAACAAAATTTTCTGAAGGCATCTTCAAATATATGACAATCAAGTGAAAATTTCTTATTTTTAAAAAGACAAAACACATCAAATATTTTCCAGCTAGGAACAAAACAGGAAATTCTATTGTCGATTTTGGTAGTTATTTATGTTTCCCTCCGTTTAAACCTTCCCTGAACTTCCACAAATATTTCAAGATAAGATAAGCCAAATCGGTCCTGCCATTCTTAAGTTTTGGCGAGACAAACGAATAGCAAAATATAGATATATATATTTGGCCTTAAACTTGAATCATATTTTGACTATTATATAATTAAGTCTTCATTGTATATTGTCTAATGAATTATCTCCTGTTAAGTTTTGAGAAAGTTAAGACACGCAATGAAACCATGATGCTTTAGCGATAAAAACTTGACGGCAATATTTTATTTAGAAACGCTTGAAACTGCCGAAATAAGGCGACTTATATATATTATATCTAAACAAATTACAAATACGCTACACGATATAAATAGTACTTTTCGAGTCTCCCCACGCGTTAAAAGACTCGATTCATACTATTTTGTTACTCGCAAATACCTACGCAATATACGTTTACTGCGTAGAAGATTTCTATTTCAAAAATAATCTTGTTATTACTACGTATTAGCTTTATAACAAGGCAAAAAATATAGGCAATTTTTATCGTTAGGTTATGTGTTTATATTAGGATTGTTAATTATTATGTACGTTAAATGGAGATGCCGTTGAAGAACTCCTTCGTTTAATGATCGTTTGTTGTGTCTAGCAGTAGAAGTTCATTCGCTGACAGGGTCAAAATGCTGCATGGTTCCTCGTTTTTAGCAAATAAATTATTTCTATTGTTAGTCCTTACTGACCCAGTTTTAACGTAGTTTGCTAAAGATTAAAATTGTGCCACTTGTTCGAATGATAAAACCTAAATTTACCGGTCATATAAGCATAGCATAGATAAGGTCAACGTTCATATACGTATATTATTAAGGACGAAGTAATAAAGTTAATAAATTTTTACCTCGCGAAAATTTACTTATTAATTTTAAGGTAATAATTATTGAACGTATCATATTCATATTTTTTTCAATATTTTCTATAAAGGGGGTCCTTAGGATAGTATAGTTATAAAAATTTTCTTAATTCTTGGTTCAATTATGTTTCAAAAATATAAGGCAATTGTTGTTTTGCTACCAACGTTTATTTTTCGCTCTATCATCTTGATGTCAGAAGCCAATTGAAATCACAAACATTGACGTCAAGACACAACAATACTTCGTCAGATATTTCGCCGGTATTCTAACGTAAAATGCATAAAAATGTTTCGTTATTCCATTAAATCGTTTTGTCGTTCCTAATTACAAAATATCCAGCGTACTCTTGTCTGATGTCTTTGGTTCTTAGATATAACAAAAAGACTTGCAATTTTCATATTCATTATTATTAGAATGTAACATAAAAATGATAAACTAATCGATTTCAATCTGCAGCATTAATTCATGTTTTAATCTTATCTATAGGTCGTTAAGCCATGAATTAACTCGTGTTTAGTTCATGGTTCTCGCCCGATTAAACAAATGTTATAATAAATTAACATTAATAAACGTTATAAGAACAATTACTCTGACTTTGCGTGGATTTACGACTTTCATGTACCTTAACTAAGTTCCATTTTGTTGTAGTTGATTTTTCTTGCATCCCTCAAGTAGGTAAATAATGGAGATGGAGATCTCATTAAAAAGTCTGAGGAGAAAATACTGTATACAACACTTTCAAAAATAAAACATTACTGGGTTTAATCAATGAATGTTTATTGTTTCAGGGTGTCACTTGGGGCAAAGCATTTCTTGTAGCAGCGGATGACCATACCGCTCTACCATACCTCACCAATAGAGAATGTCAGTTGGGAGGCTACAGAACCTACACGGTACACTTTCATCCGAAGTCCCTATACTTTCCAACAAACCACTCACATAGTTCAAATCACCTAAATAGTTCAAGTTTCCCACATAGTGCAAGCCAGAAAGACGCTGTTCTTTATATAGCAGTGCCGGAGAATCGACACTGGCTTGGCGCAGCTCCTCTTCCAGACATAGCTCAACAAATCTTAGAGTGCCGAGGTGCTTCCGGGTCTAATGTTGAATACCTCTTACGTCTAGCTGATTTCATGAGAGAAGAGGTACCTGAAGCGCTAGATGAACATCTTTTCTCCTTAGAAAGATTAGTTAGGAAATTCGCCTGTGATATGAAGATCTGCCTTCAGACTCTTATGTTTGATAATAGAGTAGGCCCAAGTCAAGAGAAAGAAGGACCAAGTCAGGAAGAAGAAAAGGTTTCAAGTCTCCAATTCGCTTCTAGAATTCCTGATAAGAAATTGCGTTGTGTCAACATGTGATTTTGTTTCATTTAATGTTTGAACGTGGTGTATTGATAAGTAGTTCTTGCTGCTATGCTCGAAGCGCTGGTTGCTCGTAGCATATAAAATTTAAATAGTAAATTTTCCTACGTTCAACTTTTTCTGAAAGAACCACTTCTCCACGTTATATCCAATGTAAATTTGTCTTAGTTAACTTAGCATTTCTTATCTCGGCTTCTAGATGTTTTTGGGATTTTGATGGCATTGTAAATGTGACAATTAGAGCGAATATTATGACTAAGTTTTAATTATGTACCAAATCAAAATATAGTTTAATCAATTCGACATAACGACATTAGTGTAAGTTTTTTAAGGTAGAAAAGATCCCACGCAATGTATAATTAACTCAAATTATTAGCGTGTGTTGCGACCATGTTTTCTTTTAAATTGTTTTAGTTGAGCATAGCTCTGTCATCATAAGTTTCATAATATTCATTGTTCCTAGCAATAGTTTGATAATAACGTTTGACATATGACATGACAATATCAAATAAAAATACTTTTTCATAGAGCAATAATCAATTTATGATTCAATTGTTTAAACAACAATAAGGTACCTAATATATTTTCTACTGTTTATATATGACATCTTTTGTGTAATAGAAAATTATTACACATAATTTCAATTAATAAAAATTAATAATCTTGACTTGTTGGACAAATGATCGAACACTATTTTTTATTAAATGGAAACTTGGACATAAAATTTAGTTATTTTTTTTATGCCAAAATGTAAAGTATTATGTTAGAATATAAATTTTGTGTTAATTATTAAAATATGGTTTGTTATTTATAAAGAGATTTTAGTAATTGGCTATTGTATTAACTAGCTGAAAGCTGGACTTAATCTTAAGTTTTTACTAATTTAACCAATGAGGACAAACCAAACAAAGTTCTTAACTCTAGGGAGCATTTAAATAAGAGTGGAAAATGTTGCCTATATTGCTCATGCAGCTGTTAATCTATTATTTCTCAAAAGTTTGCATAATGTGTGAAATGATATGCTTTCAATGTTTTCTGGTTTTCGTACTAAATTTAATCAAAAGTCCTTCAGACTATTAATTAACACAATAGTCAAATAAAAAATAAAGTAATTCTATGTCCTTTCGTAAAAAATGTTGATGTAAAAATTCATTTATTATAAATTTTATATATTTAATAATTTTATATTACAACATTACAAACAATATGTCATTTATAAGAATAATGTGAATAGTCATGCAGTGCTGAGCGCTTTGAATATGCTTGAATTTATCTTTTTATTTTTGGTTCCTCTATATTAAAACTTGTGATAACTAATATTTGTAACAAAGGAATGTATTTTTATATTGTATTTTAAGTGTAATAACTGTGTAATGTTTGTTTTTTATCTGTAATACTGGGTCAATAATGATGATTTGTGATTAACTCGATTCAAATTTAGTATGTATTAAAATTTTGTAAACAAATATATAACAAAATTATCAATTTGAAACTGGTTTTTTTTTTTTATTGTGCATGATTCATAAGGTGCAAATCCACAAAAGAAACACTTAAAAGCAACCTTGTTCTCGGTCTGAGTTTTTTTATCGTTAGGTGATCCGACCTATTTATATAACGGGGTAATACCTGTTGCGGACACTCACATTGCCCGAAGGCTCGCATGTGCGTTGCAGAATTAGCCCTTTTAAGAATTAGTACGCTTGCTGTCGGTTTCTAGGTTCTAAATGTGGTTTCGTCACGATGTTATCCTTCGTATGAGCAAATACAGATTACGTTTATAGAGTAGGCTATAGCAAAATAGACTAAGTAAATAAATAAATCGTTCATTTGTAAAGAAGGTGGTAGGTACATTCAGATTTATTAATCATAAAAATAACGCCCTATCAGATATATTATATAATAATATCATCTTAATACTAAGACCAGTTAAGATATTTATAGTTATTGTTGTAATTTATAACTCCATATTTCAAAATATATGACAAACCCAGAAATATGCGCCTACCAAATTATTACATCCAAATTAGCAAGGTAACAACTACTACAATTATTGTTACAATAAACTTGACGTGATACGCTGGCTAATTTCTTCCTATTAATTCCCAAATCGCTGATTTCAAGCTCGCAATTTTGTATTGTGAATGGCCCAAATCATACAAAAACTGTGCTCGAACACTCTCGATTAGTTTTTCAACTCTCGCCATGTCAATTTTTGTAGTCAGTAGATCGACTCATTTGTTATGATCGGTAACAATTTCTTTAGAATACACTAAAAAAATTGGGATCGCCGACAGCTCTAGTTCAAGGCTAGTCGTGCTTAGTACTTTACATCTAGGAATGTTACTATCTTTTGTGTAAAGATAAAAAAATCATATGCAGCTACGTATGTAATTTGTTTTTATTTAAAAACAAATTATTATAGAATTGATACGATATTTTTATTGTTACTGCCGACACGGTACACATTGGGTATATTCTATATAGTTAAGATTTATTTGATTTACATGAACATCTAAAAATAAGCAATCGTATCTTATTAATCTGGATTTGTTATCGCGCGGCTTCACCGTTTTTCCCGTCGCGTCGTCTGGTAAAATTGAGTTTGGAATGGTGTTAAATGTATCAACTAGTTTTGTCTCAATTTGTTTGTATGGGAATATAAGGTTTTTATTTAATTACATTTTACCGGTACTATTATGAAATTGTATATATATCTACTATACCCTAGGGCCTAAACTAATAAAAAAATGCCATAATGGTTTTTCTACTTTGTATATCAATAATCCACCCGTGACGGTCTTGTTTTCCGAGATTCTTGGGCTGTCCACGGGACCAGATCGACTCACTAAAAGGAAATTCCCGGAAAGTATCACTTCAGAATATTCTACAAAGACGTTGTTTCTGTTTTTGTGAATATGGTTTGATTCCATAAATTAATACTTTTAGACTAAAATAATAAACAAGAATAGATGTCGTACTGATTTTATTCACAGTCATACAACACATAAATCATACATATAAAATAATCGAACAAATATACAAACAATTTGCAAATAACTCGTTGCCAACACAGTAGACAGTAAATTTCATTTCTCGCATGACAATAAATATTTTTTCGACAATTCGATATTAGCGTTTAGACGAACATCAAACATGCAAACTTAGAATATCTAATATTTACAATACGTTAATTTAGGTGCTATAACTATTTACTTACAGTCATCGTGCGTGTTGTATTGAATAAAATATTAATTATATAGAAAACGATATTATGCATTCTTTGAAATCATTACGATTAAAAATAAATAGTATCTTGTGAGTTATTTCAATATTTATTAATAATTTGTCTGAATATGTCCGTATACATATAATAGAGTATTGGTCTAACTTAAAAATAAAACCATGATTTTTTTTACCATACGAACTGTACAGGTTACCAATAATTACCAAAAACTTAACGCGTTATAATAAAGCTTAACGTTCGACAGAAATTAAAACTGCCACTTTTTGCGATTTTGGGAAGGACCTATTTTCAACCGATCAAAAGAAAACCGGAGGATTATAACGACCAAAACTTTCATAATAAACTTAAATTCATACCTTTGCTGTTACATGCAATAAGCAAACGTTTACATTTATTTAAAAAGTTTCGATATTCACGATAGTTTATATTTCCGAATGAACTTTGAACCCTTTGTGGAGAAAGGATGTTGTGTGCTTCCTCTAACCCAAATGAAAGACCCCCGACTTGTCATACCGAGAATCCGAGTCTAAGATCGCTATAGAAATATCGCTTATTCTTTTCAGTTTTTGTATTTACCACGTTAAGGTAACACAAGGTATACAACTAGGTCCTCTTACTTCATACTATAATATAATTATCGTTAATTTAATATAGATTTCTAAAATTAACAATAAATTCACAAATAAACTTATATATTTATAACAAAATATTTGACTATACCTAAATTACTTGAAATATTTACAATACTACGAGTACAATCAACCTTAAACTAATTAAGTACAAATATAATTTGGTTTTAAAATGCATTACATGATTGTTATTATGACAGACTAGAATAATATATTGTATGGAGTTATTGAAACTAAGTCCAATATACTGTCTAAATTATATTGAACACGTGAACAAGATACGTAATAAATTGTTAATCTAAGTCATGGTGTATGCATTCTTGAAATATTTTGTTCAACATAAATAATACAAGAAATACTTGAAACAGAATTTGTTGATTGCAATTGACCTTAACACTACTAAGCGATCTCCTTCGGTCAACAATTTTTGGGGGATTTTATTTTAAAATATGCCGATTTTTTTTTAAGATTTTTCAGATCTCGGCAGGACAAATTTTTCATATATACTTTTTGCGCATAAAACAGAAACAATATACAAATGTCCTAAAGCAATTCGGCCTTATCGTTGATAAGCTCCTTTCCAGGCAATACAGATTTAGGTTCATTTTACGCCCTTATTTAGTAAGTCGTTGACTAAAGAACTTTTGTGACTCATCTCGTCAAATTTTATTTACGCTATTGAAAATGCAGAACTTAGTTAAGAATACTTTTAGAGTGATTTAGTTTTATGAATAAGGTAAATTGAAGACAGAATTGTAGAAAGTGCGAAAATAATTTGTGGATTTTCATGTACATTAGAAGTAGGATATTGTCACCGAAAATACTTAAAGTAACTATAAAATGTAATAAAGATACAACAAGACCAACTTTGGTAATATTTACACTACGCTATATTTACAAGAAAATTTTGGTAAATAAATAAATTTAGTAATCATTTCGATATGCGATCGACGAGGTTTGCTTTGCGCAAACTTAACTTGTGCCCAGAGATTATTTATAAACGTATAAACCTCAAATAGCTATCGCACTAATTGATACGTTTGGCCATATGAAATTTAATTTTGAGTTATTAGAGAGGTGGGCTTTGACTCAATAATCGTACAAACTATATTTAATACTGAATTATCTAAATTAACGTTGAAAAGTAAAATTGTGTTATAAATAACCTCTGCAATCAAAATTTACGTATTATACGTCACGTTTTTCAACAAGTCGTTTTTGCTACGAGCCGTATATCTATAGATATAATAGTCTTGTTCTATTAAGACTTGTCAACGTCTACCGATGGCATATAATATTTTTTCTACATTATTCTTTTTATATATATAATTTAAGTATATATATTAAACATTTTTATCGAATTCGCAGTAAGAATATTTCACATACATTTAATGTTATTTAATAAATGGAAATTCACTGTCACTTTCGTCTCCGGAGCCGTCATAACTGGAAGGTGGAGTGTCAAGTTGTGGAAGTCCCAGGTCTAAATACTCCTGGTTGGCTGTCACCGTCAGGATCTTATCCAAATCTTCCACCAGTTCAGTGAAAGACGGTCTATCGCCAGGAGAGAATGACCAGCATTCCCGCATCAACATGTAACTGAAATAATATGGTGTTATAAAAATGTAATCAGATGAAGGTTGGTAAAATCGAAAGAAACATGAAAACATTTAATTAATTTGACGTGTCCCGCAAAAATGGATTAATAACATTAAAGATATAAACTAAAAGCAAAGGTTTACGAAAATTTCAATGTTTCGATTAACGCCATAGCTTTCGTGTCGATTAAACTTGTACTAGGCCCATTGATCTATTGTGCGGAACTACGACTACTTACTAATTTTTTCCTTCACCGTAGAAATTAGTATTTAAAATATTCTTCTTTATTAATAATATTATTAATAAAGATGAAGAGGCTTTATATAAAGTAATATTATTAATTTAATTAATATTATCGAAGAAAGGCTCAGTGTAGTTTGAACACCCAGTGTTGATTTCAACAATTCCCATTTGATTGACAATTAAGTTTTATACTCACATTTCCAGACTACAGCATGGTGGCTTTTCCATGCGATGTCCCGCGCTGAGATGCTGGTACATGTATTGCCCCGCCACTGTGGGGTATGGGGTACCCCCGAGGGTCATTATCTCCCATAGGAGGACACCGAAGGACCAGCTGAAATAGCAGGATATTTGTATTATGGAGATTGTTTGTTTCAAGAACCGAGGCTTCATTAAAATTTTATACGATTAAAGTCCGGAGCAGTATCCGGTAAAAGGATAACTATTTCAGTTTAAAAAGCACAGAAACCTATTAAATATATAGAGAAATGCCCCATTACGAAACATATTTTAGTGACCTTTTTATTCACCCATTCCTAAGAGGCTTAGAGAATGCCCCAATTTTTTTCGAACGATAAAAAAAATTGATGTCTAAAAAATTTCTTTTAATCTGTTGTCCATGCGGAAATTAATGTCTACTACAATTGTTACTAAAACAGTGTTGGCCTAATGGCTTCAATGTGGGACTCCTGAGGTCGTAGGTTCGGTCCCCGTACAGCAATAGGCTTTCTGTCTATGCGCGCATCTACCTCATTCATACGAAAATCCAAAAATGTGAGAGAAGAAAAAAAGTGTGTGACAGACTGCCTGATCACCTACTTGTCTATGAAATAAAGATTATATACGGATACTAGCTGACCCGGCAAACTTTTGTTTTGCCATGTATATTATTTCTAGGAAACATTTTTTTAGTTCAATAAAAATAACTATCTACAATAATAAAAAATAGGGGTTGATTGTAGAGGGGTGAAAATTAGTGGTTTTATGTATTTTTGTATGGTGTATCATAAAAAAACAAAAACAAAAAAATTTGGGGTGGACATCCCTTATCCTTAGGGGTTTGAAAGATAGATAGTAGCCGATTCTCAGAGTTACTGAATATGATTATAAAAATTTCATAAGAATCGGTTGAGCCGTTTCGGAGGAAAATGGGAACGAACATTGTGACACGAGAATTTGACCGAGGCCAAAGTACACCTCTACATGGGTAGCGCTGTTTATTATTATTATTACATTCGTTACTTACACATCAGTCTGCGTAGTAAACACCTTGTGGTACAAGGACTCGGGCGCCATCCATCGCACGGGCAATCTGCCCTCAGTCTTCTTCCGGTAATAGTCGTTGCTGTGCACGTCCTTAGCTAAACCGAAGTCCGCTATCTTTAGCACACAGTCGTCTGACACGAGCACATTACGGGCTGCTAGGTCACGGTGGATACACTGGAAAGGATTAAAAAAATAAGATTTTTAAATATTCTAATTGCTTTAGATGATTTTTAGTTATACTTCTTTAGGCGCGTTATTTTACAATGCAGCGCGCACTCTGTGACACAAAATTAGGAGTGTGTGATTATAGCGTGCGCGAGCGAGATAGGAATAAAGACAATCTACAAGTATAAAAGAAATGAGAATATGCGTGAAGTTCGTATGCCAAGAATTTTGAATGACCATAATGACATTTGTCATTTACCTTTTAAACAAAATATAAAAGGAGTTTTAATTATTGCTTTTTGAATATATATAATCAGAAGTGATTTAAATTGAATATTTAAACCAATACTAATAAAAAAAATTTTTAAAAAACTGTGCTCATCAACTTTCCTAAGTGTTTCATTACAATTGAGGTTAACTATCAGTTTGTATTATTATTATAGAGTAATGTTTTGATTAAAAAAATTACCACATTGTTTAATCAAAACATGTAATTTTTCTCTAGCAAATATAAGGACAAAGAGACAATAAACAATTGATGAATCAGTGTAAGTGCACTAAATTGAATACAAAAAAAGAGTTGTCATCTTATCGCTGTGAAACATCAAAAACTGGAGAGTGGAACAAAGCCAAACTATTTTTAATAATGCCAAAGAAGTATAACTTCTTACGCGCGTACATAAGTACTTTTTATTAGAAAAAACAACGTTCTAGACTTTTCTATAGACGCGTATTTGATCGGATAAAGCTAATTTTTTCACAATATTAGCGATATTGTCCGAAAGTCGTCGGCAATTCTGTCACTAAAATTATCATTACTTATATAGTAATTATTTATTGGCAATTAATTCCTTTGTTGGATGATCTAACTATATAAGTTTCATTATAAACTTGTGTTTGTTGCAAAAAATAATTCTTAAGTAGACTTTAATTTTTTTTTTTTGAGTAAAAATTCTCCTTTTGAAAAAAAATATTTGGATGTTTTCTGTGATAAGACACTTACCCGTCTAGAAGCTAAATACTCCATTCCTCTTGCAACTTGATAAGAGAAAGAGACCAAGTCTTTCTGCGTTAGCGTTTTCTTATCTTTCAGGTCTTCGGTTGGTGATTCATATCTGTGGAATACAAAATTATAAATATAAATAAATTGTGGGTGTGTGAACTGTTTACAAAACCTTTGAAATGTTCCAGAATCTCTAGTGAGTAGTATTTTGAAATGTGATGTGCATAAGCGCCATCTATTCGTAGCGCATTTAAAACTTTTCCAACTAATGTTGACTGCTAATAAAAGCGCCATCTACTTGTAGAAGTTATAAATAAAATATATAGCAGCAATGTTAGCAGTTTAAAAAAATTATAGCAAGCGCCATCTATATTTTGTTTTCAACATACCTGTTTCCCGGTCGGTGGTTCCTCAAAAACTCTCTCAGATTTCCATTCGGAGCGTATTCCACTATGACGTACAGAGGTCCATCTTGAGTACAGCATCCTAACAAGTTGATGATGTTCACATGCTTTCCTATCATCTTCATCATCTCCATTTCAGACACTAGCGCCATCATTTCAGCGTCTGTGTGACCCTCTGTAAAAAATCAATACATCGTATGGCAAATAATGTAAATAAAAATTGATGTCTAAACAAATATTAAACTAAATCTTTATAATATGAAAGTGGGTGGCCTATATATAGGCCCAGCTTTTTTTATATTTGACTTTATTACTTAAAGATGTGAATCTTTAAGTAATGAAGCCAAAACACAATTCATGTAAAAAAATTGTGGAAAAATTTTGTACCCCAGAATTGCTAGTGTTTTTACGAGACTTTAATTAGTATGTTTCAAACTTTATAAACATACCTAATGTTTCCAAAATTTATAAAATATATTATGAAATGATATCATATTAATTTTGGCGAAATAAAATGGAGAATATATTTATATTATATTGAATTGAATATCGCAGATTGTACTTTCAAAGTATGAGGGCAAGGTGTTTGTAAAACCATTTGGTAACGGGTTTGTTTTTATTATTGGAAAGTGGCTGGAACTGGTACTCTTTAACGAAGTTCCAATTTAAAAAAAAAAATTTTTACAGAATAATACAATCAAAATCATTTGAAAACCACCGTGGTTTGTATTAATGAAACTAATAAACAAACTAATAGGAATGTCATAAGAATAGCAGGTCTTTTATTTTTCATGTAGCAATATCCATCGGTAGTTAAAGTAAGCCTTCATACCTTTAAGCATCTTGACAGCGACCACAGACTGAACACCGGGCTTCAGTATCCCCAAACAATCTGCCTTCACGACCTTCCCAAACTCTCCCTCTCCCAAAACCTTGCCCAAAGCCAGTGACTCCCTTGGCACTTCCCAATCTATGTCCACGGGTAACTCGTATTCTGACATCATCATCGCCTCAGTGTTTTTCTGCACTTGAGATAGCTTTTGCTTTTCGATCTTCACTACTGGCATCAGCTGGAATTAAGGAGAATTTAAACACGTATATTTAGATGGATTAAAGTTATATTTGACATTTTATCATGGAATATTTCTCCCGGATCTTGGACTACTGGGGCAGTGGTAGCATATATGTGAAATGAGTACAGACAGACAAAACACTATTAAATTATACGTTTTACAGAATACAACTGCTGAATTAAAGATGTTTTGGTTAAACTGAAAACTAGATCTTGAATAAATACCTATTAATAATTAACCAAATATATTATAACATCTGAGTTTCATCATCGGACGTCAAGGCAAAATACAAAATACCATCCGTATCACCTCGACTTCCGTCGTTCTACAACTGAGCGTTTTCTAAGGCAGTTTTTGCCGCGCACCACCACTATGTGGAACCAGCTGCCCACTGAAGTATTTCCGAACCAATACCACTTAGGGTCCTTCAAGAAAAGAGCGTACCAATTCTTGAAAAGCCGGCAACGCACTTGCGCGCCTATTGGCAGTGTGAGTGTCCATAGGCGGCGGTATCACTTCACATCAGGTGAGCCTCCTGCAGGTTTGCCTCCTATGACATTAAAAAAAACAAACAAACGAAATTTTTTTTTTTTAAAAACAACTATAAAGTATAAATATAAGTACTTACACAACCCTCTTCAGTAATATTCTGTGTTCCACTCATGAGTGGTTTCTCTACGGTTACTTTCTTCGTCCAATGAGTGACAATCACTGCGCGTGCGGTTTCTATAGCCAGTTGTTTTTTTAACTTCTCCTGTTTTAACTTTTTGAATATCATCACCACGATAATAGCAGCCACAAAGAACATGGCACCGAGTACGGCAGTCAAGATGTTTATTAGTAATGTATGTTTCCCGTGATCCAGTGCTTCCGGTACAGGAAACGCTGAAATTTGAAATTAGAATAATGTAGCGCAAGTTTTACTCAAATGTGCGATGCATTTGTTTATATAAAGTTAAAAAGAGAATATTTTAATTGGTTAAACACTTTAAATAACTGTATTAAATATTCAGTAGTGTTACAACCGTATCTTGTTATCGGAATGCATTCGTTTCTTTCTCTTTTATTATAAAATTTGATCTCTTTTTTTAAGTCAGTACCTATTTGAGATTGAAACACGCCAGTTTTCTTACGATCTTTAAGCTGACCGTAGGAGCAGAACCGTTAACCTCTGTAACTTCCAATAGTAATATCGACAGCGATCCCGATATTAATAATCAGTTTATGAACCGCCATATCCCAAGATTGGGGTATCAGCACTACATATTATATTGAGTTGCATACAAAAACGTCAGCACTTGTATCGCGGTCGCTATTGGCAGTTACGGAGTAAGGGCGAGGGGTTAATTGTACACAGAGAGAAAGAAAACTCATTAATGCACAACCGGGATTCGAACGGTAGCTCATATTATAAACTACATACTATTTATTTAAAATTTAAAAACTCATTATATTGATGTTTCGAGTGCTTTACAGTACTCTCGTCACTATAAATAATGTTATAAATTCGTGTATATTCGGCAAAGAAGATTTATTTAAATATGTCTTTTAATTTTTACAATAGTTACTTACAATCTAAAACTGTTAAGTAGCCCTTCGCAGTCGTGTTTCCCAAAGAGTTGAGAGCTACACAGACGTACCACCCCTCGTCTTCTTTCGTAACGTTGTATATTGTCAACTGTTCGGGCAAATCTTCTGGGTTCTCAGTCTGCAAGTAAAAGTTATATTTAACATCTTTAAGCACGTTATATTCCATGCATATACAATCTTCAATGAACTAGTTGTTCATGCAGGCACAAAGTATGTCACCGCTTAAATATCCATCATTTACCCGATCAATGTCAAGGCAAATCTATAGGATAGTTTAATTCATGCAGAATTCTAGGAGTAGAAACTCTATATAAACAAATCCAGGTATCATGAAGAGAGGTCTAATAAAGAAGTGTACCTTCTATAGTCTCAAAGCTTAAAAAATTTGAATGTTCTTCAACTAGATGACCATCTAATAAAACCAAAATTAACTTATAAATATTTTCCTTTGTTTTTATTAGGGAATCAGCAATATACATACAAACACATATGAATACTATAGATTTAGATAAAGAAACTTTTAATACAGGTCTGAGCTAATTGTAATACCAATTAGCGCTCAACAATTGAACAAACATGCATGTATATATTCAACATATACAAAAGCAAATGCAAAAAAAGTGTTCATGCAAAATACAACTTAAATTCTAATTGAATTACGTTCCAATACGAAATTAACTTCGCCCATTCATCCATTAAGAAATACTGTAAACAAAAAAATGCAGAAAAACAAGCGAAAACATGCCATAAAGCACAGATCACACAGAGCACACAACAGACCCCTCACCATAACAACTCTAGAAACATCTCTGTACACAACTGGCTCTTTACTACCAGCATCCGACGATGAGACATTATAAATATATTCGTGTGTGTTAAAATACATCCAGTAAACAGATGGATGTAGGTCTGAGAGAAATTCGCAACTGAATTTCGCTGTTTGTCCAACAAGTTTCGTTTGATTAACTGCTGCTTGCGTCAACACAGGTTTTGCGTATAGATGCTCTATGGACAAATGAAACCTATTTAGTTAGTGACCACAAGTTCTTCCGGTTGCCTAGGAAATGATGGTTTTAGCGAAATGAAATCTAAATGTATATATTAATTAGAGAATTTGTTGAATATGTTAATTGCTGTATTATACACAGTGTAGGGCTCTGAAACCGCCACACGCTATGGCGTAATATATATTTTTTTTTATAGAACGGGGGGCAAACGGGCTGGAGGCTCACCTGATGTTAAGTGATACCGCCGCCCATGGACACTCTCAATGCCAGAGGGTACGCGAGTGCGTTGCCGGCCTTTTAAGAATTGGTACGCTCTTTTCTTGAAGTCGAATTGGTTCGGAAATACTTCAGTGGGCAGCTGATTCCACAAAGTGGTGGTGCGCGGCAAAAACTGCCTTGATAAACGCTCATTTGTAACAAAAATTTCAATCCAGTCTTAAACAACATTTATTTTAGTGTGCGTTGTAAAATACAGACTAAAGACGTCATCAGCACAAGAATTTAAAGTAGGTAATAGATACACGAACCCCCGCCATGGCTGGCTGAATCTTGTCACAAGCCGGCTTAGCAAGAAATTGCCTTAAACCCTAAGGATAGATGTATCTAATACATAACTGCCAGTTAGACCCTACAATCTCCATAGATAATTGATTAAACCCCGATAAGACAGACCTAATCTATCGAGACAGGATCAGCTATAAATTACCTTTATCTCCCGTTCTGTGGAAAATTGTAAATAATTGCCACAACCAGGTAATTTAAAGAGGGTTCTTAAGATTAACCTTTAACCTTATGAGTAAAATGGCCATCACCAAACCTTAACCAGTTAGTTTATGTGAGATAATGAGGTTATTAACATTTTCTACGATTTTCAGTTTACGGTGCTTTAGAAGTAAACTTTCACCTCGGTGAAATTGGCTTTGTACATGGGAATAAACAAAATAACGGCAAGATCACACTTAATAAATTTTTTTCCAATAAGCTATTATTACACATACGATATTGCCGCGAAGTTTATCCCCAAAGAGTTAGAATAGATTTTTATAAATACTATCAATAATAAATAGTATTTTAACTCGCAAAGCCAATTTCACAAAACTCGAGTAGTGAGAGACCAAAATTCCACCACCAGAACATAATCAAAGACCTCTATTCGATCTCCGACTGGAGGTGGCGAGTCGCTTGGTCCGACTTCAGCGTCTTTCAATGAAGTGTTAAATGGTCTTATCCAGTACACCAATGGTTCTAAGTCAGATACCGGTGGACACTGGAGCTGTACTGTGTCATTCACTAGGACCGTAATGTTCCCTGGATATCCTTCTTTTATGTAGGGACTTGAAGGATAGCGCTCTACGAGATAATTGATCGTTATTTTATACGTTATCATATTTGTTGTGAGAATTCTATAGTGGTGGTGGGTCCGAGATTATGTAATGTAATGTAGGTTTCTACACTTATAAACTAAGTCCAAAACAAATTCAAAACTAAACAAAATTCCTTAAAAATGTCGTAAAAACCTTTAAAAGTTAATTAACGTGACCTAAATGTTTACTGAAAAGTAATTAAGTTTTAAAAATATCAGTAATCATGAATACAATTATATATTTTGAACGTAAAGTTGGTAGGATTTGTTCTTATGTTTAATAAAACAGATTGTATATAGAAAAATGATATCACAATACCTTGTATTTGAAGTGTATAAACATGTTGAATACATCCCAATTCATTGCACACTTTGCAAGTGTAATTTCCATTATCAGCTTTGGTTAATTCGTCCAACGACATCAACCATTTACCATAAGATGGTTTGAAGTAACTTCTCGATATTGGTGTAACATTATTTTTATACCACGTTATGTTGGGCATAGGATTACCTGTAAAAGTTAACGGCGTCATAAAGTATTTATAACTGCCGGGAGGATATCATTTTCGGTAACACGGGTTAATGCCTTGAACGTGTAAACAAATGTGGGTGAATTTCACAGTAGACAATTTACTAGTAAAATTAATATATTCAAATGTCATGACGAAAATATAATCCTCAATATTTAACATTCCTATAGATCATCCTTCCGTGCCGAAAGATTGTTTTCGCTTGTAAATCGAACCACATTGGTAAATATGTATACTTATTAAGATAAATAGTAAACAAAAGAAAGTAAAGTAAACGAAAAGTAATAATACGCAAGACATCCAAATCAAATTTTTTGTTTGCTTTAAATCAAAAATTTAAATCAACAAAATTTAAATCTTTCCAGAGTTATTTGTCAAGCGAAAGCAAATCTAAATTAAACACAGCACATATCCCACAATTCCTGGCTTCGCTGATAAACAATGTTATTTCAACAAAGAAACGCTACAGATGCCCTGCTCCATTTAAGGGCCACGAAATATTAAATCAGTAGCTCACCTTCAGCAGCGCATTTGAACCGAATAGAACTGCCTGCTGGCTTCATTTCCATATTATACATTTTCAGTGGATGTTTGAACTTCGGCTCGTACTTAGACTTCGTATTATCAACATGACCATAATTCAGATGCTCCTTTTCATTTCTTTCATCAGGGTCGTCGTCTTTGGCGTCGTATTCTTTGTGTGTTTCGTCTATAGTGTTGTTTTCGACTAACTGCGCTGAGTGTTGAGATAGTATTTCTGGCATGGGTCGCTGTACATCGTCTGATTGATATTCTACAAATGTATCGTTAGAATAGTATTAGCAAACAATAAAGCACCTACTCTGTATTATTTTATAAAGTCAAGTCGAAATACAATTTCGGCCCATTACGACAGAATCATCACCAAATTTAAATATAAACGACAAGTTCACAAACATTGAGACAGTATTTATAATCATAACATTTCGCCTCGTTGCAAGGCAAGCCGTGGTATTCTGTTTACACATCTGGATGTCCAATAAAGATGCCAATTAAATATAGTATGAAAATAACTGGGGTCGAATTCGAGGTTTGTACGCTTTCATAGGTAGATGTAAAATGTAACATTGAAATAAATGAGTCCACCGCGTCAAAATGAAGACTCTCTTTGTAATAATAATCCTATTCATAATGGACACTAACTATTCATAGGAACTGTAAAAAAATAATAGTATACTATAGTAAATTAAAGTGTTCCATAATGACGGGTATTAAAACAAATGAAACAAGCCGTAAGCGCGATTTTTAATAGAATGAAAGTTAGTCTTAAGACACAAGTTTTACCTGAAATAAAAAATTATACAGAGAACAATGTGATAGAAATCACTTCGTACGAAAAGAAATAGTGACCTATGATTTAATCTTATATATACATTAATATTTTAATGTAATATGTATAATACATTAAAATATTACGGACTGTAGTCGGATAGCTACTTTCATAATAAAGAAAGAAGAACTTAAATTGTACAATGAATAGTGAACTATTTTTGACCAACCTTCAATATCAGCATCGATTTCGGGTTTATGTTTAATTGTAACACTAATTTCTTTACTTTCGTCTTCTTCATTTTGACAAGCGTATACTCCGGCATCTTTAGCACGAAACCCTTTTATCCTTAACCTGAAATTTCATAGTGAGGATTACTTCTTATAGTTAATGAAATACCTTATCGTATTTGTAACTTATTTCGACATTGTTTGAATTCATTTACCTATCTGTAAGGTTTTTCATTTAGCTGAATAATCGATATATGCTAACTGCAAAGGCAAAAAGCAATGCATTATTATTAAAAGCTTTAGTTCATATACTACATTGTTCAAGTTGTGATCGATTTAAAATATTAACATGATCGACAGTTTGTTTTCTCTACTACAGCTCGCTTAACGTGATTTATCGCTTGTATTTGCAGCATTACCAGAGAAATGCGTAAATATTGATGTAAATTCTAATTCAGATCGATTTAGTCTAATATCATCGATTCCCAGAAGCTAATACCGATCATAAATTGGCTGATTAACTAGATGTATGGGAGTATCGTAGCCAATTGGTTGTTTTGGAACTAAGTTTATGAGAGCCCGTATATCAATCATTTCTTAAGTTTAAGTAATGTTATATATCAATATGTACTATGTTCAGTGTAAAGAATCAATCTTTTTGTTGAAGAGGGCGCAAACGGATAGGAGGCTCATCTGATGTGTGATACTGCCGCTCATGGACACTCACACTGCCAGAAGGCTCGCAAGTGCGTTGCCGGCTTTTTAAGAATTGGTACGTTCTTGAATTTATAACATTATTGACCTACCATTGTCTTTGTTGCATAAGCCGGTTTTTTCCCTGATTTTCAATTGGTTTACCGTCAAAGAACCACCGAACTGCTGGCATCTGATTTCTTGGCTTCAGCCCGCAAATTAGTCGAAGTCTCTCATTTGTAGTTGCTTCGACTACTGTATAGTCATCGTCTGAAAAGGGAGTATATTTGATTATACGTGCCGATTTGTTCCTTTTATCTACATTTTATATTATAATTTATTACGCAAGTATGACACTCATAAAGAAAAATATTTAAAAAAAAAATTACTATAAATGTGATTCAATATGCTAGTTATTCGAGTAAATAAATATAACAAATAATAAGAACAAGTTAAATTTCCAATCTAGATGCGTTCCATATAACCCCCGAGGGTTGGAATCAGCCCAAAAATAAACTACAAAAAGTATAGCCTCAATGGTGTCCAGGCTGGGTACATAATTTGTTGACCATTGGCACTTCAAGGCTTTCTTCGAACATATCTATACTTATAACATCTAGAGCAGAAGCTGCTAAGATACTTTGAGAAGTGGGTAAATAAAGGTATTAAAATAAAACACAAATACGTGTTGCACATGGGACTGTTAAAATTTTACGTCTTAAGCCATCACGTTCCGAGTTAAGCGTTTTAAATTTCGCGATATTTTCGTTGTTTATGGGCAATCAAGTTAAGTATAATAACCATAAAATTTTAAAGCAAATAAAAGGGATTTTACAATTATGGGTATCATTATAATTCATCATCATTAATTATAACAATGAAGCGAAGAACGCTCAATCACTTGCCCAAATTACGTAGATTTTTGATGATTACATACTTACCTTAAAGGCTTAAAAAACAATTTACTGACCTTTTCCTTAAATCAGTGGTTAAAGCGGACATTATATGTCGTATATGTTATTTAATATACATTTTTTTAATAATAAGAAAGCTTAGATTTTATGACATGACAAAGGGCTGAAGGCAACTAGACACTACGCTACGCACAATCCCTCATGGCGAGTTCGATAGAGCCTCTTAAAATTTAATTTATAAAATTCTCGTGCACGTAATTCTCACGAACATTGTGAAATGTTCGTACCCATACTCCTCCGAAACGACTCGACCGATTCTTCTTAAATTTTTTATGCATATTCAGTAAGTCTGAGAATCGGCTACTATCTATCTTTCAAACCCCTAAGTGATAAGGAGTGTTCACCCCAAACATTTTTTTTTTTAGATAAAACCTTTTGTTTTTATTTTTTTAATGATACAGCATACAAAAATACATACAACGCCTTGTTTTTTTCACCCCTCTACGATCAACCCCTATTTTTTATTTGTTATTTAAGAACTTAAAACATGAACTCTGAGGGATATATAGAGAAAAATCACAGAAAAACCTAAAAAGCATATCAAAATGTTCCATGTTGGTATGTACTAAAAAGGTAGGCCAGGCATTAAGTAGAGAGGAGTTCGAGGAGGCAGCTAGTCTTTATATAATAATATGTAGATTGTAGGACATTTGTTAGTGTGGATATGTTATAACCATGAAAAGTAAGTTGGATTTTTGTTAATATAAATATAAAAAAATAAATATAATCTAAATAGATATTATTAAATAATAAAACTATTAATTAAAGTTGCAAACAGCATTATATGGATTTAAAGAGTTTACTTAAATGTAAAGTCCTAAAAATATAAAAGGACATTTTACGACACCAATTGTAGGGACAATGTTGCATTTCTTTGTTTTGAAAGTGGGTTTGGTTGAAACATTAATGGGCGTCCAGATTTGTGGCCTGTGAAATATTGCCTTAGAACAGTGATGTGCTTTGTTCTGTCGACATCGATGAATTCACTCACTGGATATGACTTTCGCGACCTTTTCGAAGTTCGTTGTACCGTATAAATCTGGTAAATATTTTGAATTGAGATATTCATTGCCAATTTTCGTGTGAATAATTTCTTTATTACTAACTGAACGAATATAAATTGGTAATCTGCTAAATTATATGAAACTTTTAGGTAAGTTAACTCGGGTAAGTATCGTAAAATAAATTTTAACTATTTTTAAAATTGCGATCGAAAAAATAAATTATTTCCATCAAAGATCCAGTTTTCAAACATCGATAAAAATAACTCATTTCTTACTCATCACTCTTTCTTTCGCGAACGTTAAAGGTCGCCGTAGTGAGTGCATATGCTCAGCAGATGCAGACCTGTGCCCTTGAACAGTAAAAAAAAAACTTTCTCAAGATTCAATCATTTTTGTTAAAACAATACGTCAACTTGTATCGTGAGAACGAATATGTCTAAGATTAAGATTGATTAATGACGAACAAAAAAAGTAAATTTCTTAATAACCTGTTAATTTCTTAATCAACATTTAAACAACGTGTAATTTAAGTTGGTATTGCTGTTATATGATATTGAAACACGAGTTTGAATAAAATAAAAGAAATGCGCCAGGTTTTCAATTATAAGATGCGAGTATTTTTATACATTAGGTATTGTACGCAGTTTCATACACCAAATAATTTAATAAAAAGTATTGAATATACTTATGAGCCCGTTTGTAGCCGTTAGCATACCTAGTTGATTTTACGATATAATTTTATCGACTTCGCTGGTTACCATAAGTAGTTTCCATCATATTCACTTTTTTCGCGAAATTCTGCTACTGACAATTATTGAAAAGACGTAAATGTGGCGCCTAAATTTAATACATTACCACGCATGCTCTGGAGCAAGTTGCTACAGATGACTTTATATATTTTATATTTTGTATATATACTCGATTAATACAAATGCCGAGAAAAAAAAAACCTGTTAAAAGAAATTGGAACATATGTCCGTGTATCGGTACTCAAATTCAATGAATGGTATCATTTGAGTACGATACGCTAGTACCTACTTACGTCATTAAATTATAGCTTATAAGAGTGTCTCGCACTCTCGCAGTCCGACTCGGCAGTGTGCGCACTCCGGCTTAGTTGTTGGTCATTGGTTGTAGTGCGTGTTCTGATAAAATTATAAAGAAGTAATGTTACTTATACGCTGGGGAACGCAAAAGTATAACACTGTGACATAAATTGAATAGCTGTGGATTTGATTTATAAGAAGTGACAACTTATTAATGACAACTGACATTGTCAACTGACAGTTGAGACTTGAGACGAAGTTTGCTGTTTGGCTGTGAATAAATTTTAAAGGTAAAAATAAAAATAATAAATATTGATCAACATTCAACATAATATATTATTATGAAATGTGAATTAACGTTTTAAATAGTACTTAAACAATTGTATATACGCTTGAGTATTTGGTATTGTTTTACATACCACTTTAAAATGAGCTTTATCAGAATGGAATATTTTTTTTATTAATACCTTTTTACATTATACGATATAAATATATATTTACATTATACATATAATTTTATGAAACATCGTAATATATAAAAATTTCTTTACAGATTTCACTATCTTTAATAGCAACAGTAAGCACTTTAGCTGAGTGTTACATTAAATTTATATATAATGTCTGACGAAGATCGTGAAAAATGGTCAGCAGAGGATAGGAACCGAGGTTGGTTTAGTCCTGTTCAATCTCAATAATCGAATATTATTTTATCAGATTGCCTAACTTCATATTTATTGCAGATAACCTGCATGTATCTCCAAGCTGCTCAAGTTTTGAAGTATTAGATCCTCATGATCCCATTATAAGTCGACTTGCTACACAATTGTTTAAAAGGACTAATGATTACCTTCAAGGTGAAGTAACAGCGGGACAGGTATATAAAATGCAATGTTTCCCTTATATTAATTTTATAATATACACTAAGAGAATAATGAGAATGAATATTTAAGGATCATTATATACTGCTGGAAGAAATTAACAGATTAGCTATAACAAAGTATGCTGATCTTAAAAACCTTACTGTTAACTTGGAAAAAACCCTGAATGAATACAACAAAATGTGTAAGTAATGTTTATTTTAGGGTTGAAAGATTGTTGACTTTCAAACAAAGCCCTTATTCTTTTCTTTATGGATTAAGTTTCTAAACTGCTAAAATACTGTGTTTAATTTTTTATTGGTGACAAACTAATCACACACAGTAACACACTTTTCAGATGATACTAGCATTTTACCACTTTTGCAGCAAATTGATGACATTGATTCTCAGGTAACGCAATTTGAAGCAAATGCATACCGCTTAGACAGTTACACCAAACAGCTGAAGGCTCAATTTGAAGAGCTATGTGAAAAGAGTAAATAAATAAAATTTAATTATATTACAACTGTTTTTTATTACTCCTGAAGTTTGCAAATTATGTAATTGAATATGATCTAAAGAAATGAGAATTTATAAAAAAAATTAATAAGGTTTTTGTAGCATAGGAGGTGTTTTCATTCGCAATTACTATAACAGTTTAAACCTTAATGAAATCTATAGCCACAAACAACTTTTTACGCAGTCTTCTGTCCAAATACCAAAATCAAAAATATCTTTTGTGTAATAAATCAAAAACGTTTCTCCCACTGAATAATTTGTTAGATCACACTTTTAAAGTAAATTATGTTTCTTGCACCATTTAATAGATTTCGCCTTGTTAATGTCAAACTGAAAATAAATCATAAAAATTGGAACTGCGTCAGAGTAAAAAACTGTAAGGCGTCAAAAAATATAATTTATTACAATAAATTACTGTTCAAATAATCAGTGATTCGGCCGTACAAAAATTGGTCTGTAGATTTTCGGTGACTCAAATATAACAACAAATATTCTAAAACTATTACTTTGGCTTATATTTTATTATTTACGCTTTTAAGGTATTTTCTAGTTATATATACATATATATATTTTTAGAAACATTTAAGTACATGAATATAAAACAATAAATTAACAAGACGTATGAAATACGAATCTTTTGTAATTCAACATTTATATGGGGTTTTGATTGCTTGGCCGTGATCCAGAACGTGGGCGTTTTTAATATCGTAAATGTATGAACGTTTTTACGTAATGGTAATAAGAGTAATGTATATTTTTATACCAATATACATATTTGAAATATTTTAATGGATATATAAAAGGCTCTTGTGATTAATTGATTATACTCATTGGAACTGTTTATAATATATAAGTATTTAGGCGTTAATCTCTATTTAAATCTGTAACACACAGTAGGTATATAAGTTTTATTTAGTTTTTGGTACGTAACGGACAAATTTAGCGTGTTGGGAGTAACTTGCGCCTATACTTTTAGTAGAACCAACCTTAAAATTACCTGCGTAGTTAATGATTTATTTAACGAGAATTAATTATAAACGAACGACGACTTATTATCTATCTACGAAGTATATCAATACTTGTTAAAACCTAGACTCTAGTAATAATATATAATGTGTATAGAAACTATCTAAAATACCTAGTTAATTTTTAACTCCTTTACATGCAAAACGAACTCTCTAAGCAATGAACTTACTAATCAGTTTACTTTACACACAAACAAACGACTATAAAATATATATAAAAACATACATTAAAAATGAATGTATTGAAGTTAATAAACATAGTAGGATTTATCCTATCCACAATTAACGTTACTCAAAGCTGAACCCAAATGTAATTTAACTATTCATCGATAATAATATTAGCTTTTTGTTAGAAGCTTGTTTTGTAGAAGGTATGCATGGAATCTATGAGGATTTATTGGGACGCTACTCTATGCAATATTTTATTCGTAACTGGAATTTCTATTATAATTTATAGCTCATTCTGTTCGTTCATGATATAAGGTTAACTCAAATTTACAAGAAAATAATCCATAAATTATCTAAAAGATTTATAGAAATAACCATGAGGGATTTAGTAAATGCTAACAAGATTCTTGTTTTTATAAATAATATTTATTTCGTTTTATTTTAGTCTGGTTATGTACGCTGTCTACCGAATTACCGTATTGAATCGGTCGGTTGACGAAACCATGCCTAAAATGTAGTACCTAACTAATTACATATCTACATATTATAATAAAAATAATAGGTGTGTTTTTGAAAAAGAATCAATAGCTTAAATTATAGAATAGTTTCAAGTTTAACAAGTATCGGAGCATTCTCGTAATGGAATAACCTTTTCCTGTAAGTAGTCATGGGAAGTCATTACCCTGAAGATTGACCCATGTTTAAGTGAATGTCAATGCTGTAATTAATTATCTTGACGAACATTACGATGCTGTAGATCGATTATTTTATGTCAATTGTTGACAATCGTTCCTTATTTAAATGTTTATTCTGTACAACTTATATAGCTTTGCACATCACTCATAAGTAGAAACATACTAGCGCGATATTTGTTAGCGAGTTTATGCTTTGAAATTGGTAAGAAAAAAACATAGGTACTCACTTTAGCATCTGACAAAAAAATGCTCCACTTATATAGTCCTGAACTATTGGGTAAAAAATAACAGTATTACTATAAGCAAACTAAAACGGTTATACTGAAGCGTCAAATATCAATGTCATTTCAAAAATGGATACGGCTGAAACCAAGTTTTCTATCGCCCTTCATTAAAAATACACGCAATTTTAAATTCAATTCTCTACGCAATACATGTCACTTACGTATAATGTCCCCTGTGAGGTATCACATGACAGAATCAGTTTTGGCGTATGACATTTAGGAATAGCATCGTTTCCTGCGCGAGCGATGGTGTAATTTTCTGTCATAACTAATATTGAGTTGTGGACGAGTTATTTCTAATTACACGTCTACTTTTTTAGAGGGGAATTTATTAAAAATATTGGGTTGGTTAATTACATGATTGACGTTAGGAGTAATTTCAGGCAACCCTTTATTTTTCAAAGTCATAGATATAGTAGAGTGCCAAATGTAAAAGTAGGTGCAAGAGGCAAACTAGCAGGTCAATTTGAATATAGTGTCACGTCACACGCGCGCGTACACAATTTCTCGACCTTAGGCGCTGAGGGCCTTAACTCCAGCCTCTGGTAAGACTGGTGGAGGGTCCTCCAATTGGAGAAAAAGCAGCACCATCCTTCCTCCACAGTACCTATTATATTAACCCTTAAGTTACTAATATTAGTAACTGTACTTCCATAGTTGATTTATAATAAATTTATCAAAATTTCACTTTAAACCTTAACGTAAAACATTGCTAACCATTCAAAGGGTCAGTCCAATTTAATATAAATAAAAAACACTCAATTGAAATATGTTTTGTGGGAAGTGGGAAAAACTTCAAAAGCCAAATATTTGGGAAGTCATAGCGGTCGAGATGAAAAGAGAATATTTATTTTTAATCACCACTATTCAAGAGACGAGCGGAATATAAAATCAAATGGTAATATTAAAAAGGCGACAACGACACATCCGTTTCCGCCTCGGATTTCGGTTACGTTTTGGTATTCGAAATTTTAAAAGATTAAAATGTACTCGTAGTTGAATATAAATAGCCTGTTTCTACTTCTCTATATTATATGATTAATGCTTCAAAAGATTCACTTAAGTTTCGATTTAATCTTGAAAATTCCGATTATATTTGCTAGTAATTTATTATATGGATACCCTTATTAAAACTTATCTAACAGATACAGACAGACGTTTTAAAACTCAGAGATCAAAACCTTTAGTATAGTAAAATCTAGAAATCTAGAAATTTTAGAGCTTTTAGGTACTATAATTGCTCTTTTATATTGAACAATATAGGAAAATAAAGTACCGGGGTAGAAAGAAACCTACGGATCATTTAAATTTTAAACCATGCCCTTCCCATTATGAAGTATCGTCATATTTCGAACAAGCAAAAACTACATTACTGCTAATTAGCTCAAATATCTTTGTTTTTGTCTATATTTTGGTATCGTTTTAAATTTAGACGCACGCGCAGTTTCAATTAGTTTGATTTGTGGGAAATCAATTTCACAGAATTGTTGGGGTTACAACACGTGGGCTGAGTTACTCATAGAATTACGACTTTGTAACGTAAAGATTGGAGTTCTGAGTATGATGTTTAACATTTTGAATATGTTCTCGTAATATAGTACGGTTAGAATATAGGGTGATAAGGTTCCATAACCGGGTTTGTAGCCATAGTTACCAGGTCTTTTACAAGTAAATCATGGCACGGATATGTATGTATTTTTAATTAACAAAGAATACATTTAAATGTAGGTAGCCCTAGGATTATTGCATAATGTCTACTATGTTATAAATTTATTCTATGTTATATAATTACGGCGTTGTATTAAAATTAAAAAAGGTTTTAGCTTAATTTCAACAAAACATACAGAAATCAAGGGAAGAAAACATTGTTGAAACCATTTCCAAATATGTATATTATAAATAGTCAAAAACTAATTTATCCGTCGCTGTCCCAAATAACGGTCAGGAAAGCATTAGTCACGGGCACTTTCCGGGTCATTACCGGACCACGTATCCGGTTATCCGGGTAAATTAAAAATCTATGCCGTTATATTTCCGGATATAAATCAATATTTTAATATATAAGAAAAAGGTAATTTATGAAATATTAGCAGATTTCAGTGATGAAGTTGCTTCACACACACACACTTCGTTTTATTAAAATAGATTTCAAGAATATATCTAAGTACAATAAACAGATTCAGTTTACTTAATTACATTGTACAGAAAAGTAGTTAAATGTAATTTACAATCAGTAGAATCTTAACATTCAATATGCAAATAGACTTGCAGGCCATAATTATAAGACTTCGAAACGAACGACACAATACTTTGATAATAGTAAACAGATTTTATCGAGACAAAGCATACGATTTTACATAATTGATATTAATAGACTTATAAATTAAACCTAATTTCACTTACGAAAGTTGTCATTAGTTATTTCATCATAGTGAAAACTCAATTTGACTGAGAGAAACGGAGTACTTTTGTTCAAATAAATAAAATAATAAATTTTTTATGAATAAGGAAACTGCATTAAACTGAATTTTAGACAGGGCTTAGGCTAACATTCGGTTTAACTCAGGGTATGACTTCCGTACGTCAAAATACATTTTTGACATTCGGAAGTCACAGTTAGCACTACTCGTTACTGAACCTTACTTAAGCTTCATCGGAAGCCGCACAGACAAAGACAATGCAACGAATTAGCTACGCATCATTTAACAAGGAACATAGTGAATTTACTTGATAATATAATCGAATCATAACCGAATGCAAGGAAAAGCTATTAATAATTTTAATTTTAGTACGTGTTTATACGTCATTATTCA